TCCTGGTCAGTGAAATGTTTTTCATTTAAATACTGATATGAAGAGAAATTACAATTTTTATGAATTATACTTTAGTTACAACATGAAAGCACTGATGGTTCAATGGTAGAATGCTAACCTGTCATCCAGCTGACCATGGTTCGCTCCTGGTCAGTGTAATGTTTTTCATTTAAAAACTGATATGAAGAGAAATTACAATTTTTATGAATTATCACAGGCTGGGATCGAAAGATTTGTCTGCTGTGACGGAGCGTGCTATTTTGCATAGAAACACTAGGAAATCCACAAAAGTGTACCATTTCTTTTATTTCTTTTTAATGGTACAATATAGCGACACGATAATATTAACATATGTTTTCAGCATCTTTATGTATTGGGTATTTTTAATTTCTTTTATAAAAAATAATGTTTAAATTTTTTGTCAGCTGTGCAGAGCAGTTTCAAATCTGAAATACGTTAAGAATTTAGATTTATAATATATCTCTTTACAACTACACTTTAGAGGAGTGAGCGTGTCAAATCTTTTTCGTAAAGTATTCTGAAAAATAAAACAATAAAAGTACACAATTCAAATTCTGAGATGTATATACGATCACTCTTTAAGCTTCTTTTCTCAGTTTGTACTGTAATCCAAGTTATGCATGGTAACTCATGAAAATGATAGTCAACTTCATTTCAGTATAGGGTATTTGCCTTTCGTAGTGACTGTGGATCCATCACCTGACATGGTCATTTTTTATGGTAACTTGATTATTTGAAGTAAAATTATTTGCTGAAGATGAAGCTAAATACACATAATGGCATGGTCTGCGGATTGTTCTACCCTCTTTAGTCGTTCCAAAAGGTAAGTGGAGTGTATCTTGAACCCGATCTTGAAATACGTAATGCAAAATTTGATTTTAAGATTGTTCTTTATTTGAATAAGAATTATGGCTATCTGATGCAACAACAGTAAAAAATGTGCACAGTGAACACATATGGAGCCCAAAAATGTGTTCCCAGTTGGTAGATGTTCACTCCATACAGGCAATTTCATACAGAAGTCAGAGGAATATTTCATAAGAAGAGGTGTTCACTAGAGAAAGATATTCATTGATACAGGTTTTACAGTGCAGCATGTTTACCAAGGCTTTTTTTTATAATTTTAGTCTATGCAAAACGATGAATTTCAAATAATTACAAATTAAATCTGTATTGGGATCATCTTATATACAGTAATATTATGTGGTAAAAGGTTATACATCTGTCGGAATGCAGGATGTCTGTACGCTATTTCGAATAAATTCATATTAGCCCTATTTACACCGCACGTGACATTCCAAGACGTCTTGGCGAAAACGTATAAAAAATATTATGTTGAGTTTACACCATGTTGATTAATGTTGATTTCAGTACAAACCTCCGAAAAATGCTAAGAGTGGCCGTTTTTATATCTCAGATTTACATTACCCCAGATCTCCCAGATGCTACTTGTCATAACTTAGGAAAGTGATTTTTGACGTTCTCTCTTCTAAGGGTACTTTTAAAAGATATAATTTGAATCTTAAATTCTTAACGTAGTTCACAGTTAAAACTGCTCCGTCACAGCTGACAAAAAATGTAAACATTATGTTTTATAAAAAATATCAAAAATACCCAATACATCAAGATATCATTAATACCTTCAGAGTTATGCTGAAAACATATGTAAATATTATCGTGTCACTATTTTGTACCATTAAAAAGAAATAAAAGAAATGGTACATTTTGGAGTATGATACCTTGGCGCCGTTTTCAATAGCTTTTACTCTTAGCGTTGTTGGACTTCAAACAAAAATTAAAGTTACCCGCAAATGATATACAAATGGAGTAAGAAATTTTCTTTGGTATAGCGAAACATATGAGTAAAAAAATTAATTGTGTGAGTTTCTTAGTGTTTCTATGCAAAATAGCACGCTCTGTCACAGCGGTCTTTTTCAATACCAGCCTATGATTATACTTTAGTTACAACATGAAAGCACTGATGGTTTAGTGGTAGAATGCTAACCTGTCATCCAGCTGGCCATGGTTCGATTCCTGGTCAGTGCATTGTTTTTCATTTCAATACTGATATGAAGAGAAATTACAATTTTTATGAATTATACTTTAGAGACAACATGAAAGCACTGGTGGTTCAGTGGTAGAATGCTCGCCTCTTGTGCAGCTAGCCATGGTTCCATTCCTGGCCAGTGCAATGTTTTTCAATTAAATACTGATATGAAGAGAATTTTTATGAATTATACTTTAGGGAAAACATGAAAGCACTGGTGGTTCAGTGGTAGAATGCTTGCCTGTTATGCAGCTGGCCATGGGTCAATTCCTGGTTAGTGCAATGTTTTTCATTTAAATACTGATATGAAGAGAAATTACAATTTTTATGAATTATACTTTAGGGACAACATGGAAGCACTGATGGTTCAGTGGTAGAATGCTAGCCTGGCATGCAGCTGGCCATGGTTCGATTCCTGGTTAGTGCAATGTTTTTCATTTAAATACTGATATGAAGAGAAATTACAATTTTTATTAATTATACTTTAGGGACAACATGGAAGCACTGATGGTTCATTGGTAGAATGCTAAACTGTCATCTAGCTGGCCATGGTTCGATTCCTGGTCAGTGCAATGTTTTTCATTTAAATACTGATATGAAGAGAAATTACAATTTTAATGAATTATACTTTAGGGACAACATAAAAGCACTTGTGGTTCAGTGGTAGAATGCCCGCCTCTTGTGCAGCTGGCCATGGTTCGATTCCTTGTCAGTGCAATGTTTTTCAATTAAATACTGATATGAAGAGAAATTACAATTTTTATGAATTATACTTTAGGGACAACATGAAAGCACTGGTGGTTCAGTGGTAGAATGCTCGCCTCTTGTGCAGCTGGCCATGGTTCGATTCCTGGTCAGCGCAATGTTTTTCAATTAAATACTGATAGGAAGAGAAATTACAATTTTTATGAATTATACTTTAGTTACAACATGAAAGCACTGGTGGTTCAGTGGTAGAATGCTCGCCTCTTGTGCAGCTGGCCATGGTTCGATTCCTGGTCAGCGCAATGTTTTTCAATTAAATACTGATAGGAAGAGAAATTACAATTTTTATGAATTATACTTTAGTTACAACATGAAAGCACTGGTGGTTCAGTGGTAGAATGCTCGCCTGCCATGCAGCTGACCATGGTTCGATTCCTGGCCAGCGCAATGTTCATTTTACTTAAAATCTGGCTTGAAGATGAATTACAGTTATTTTACACTTTTCATCAATTACACTTTAGGGCTATTTGGGTGGTACAGTGGTAGAATGCTCGCCTGCCATGCAGCTGACCATGGTTCGATTCCTGGCCAGTTCAATGTTTTTTTCATTTAAAAACTGATATGAAGAGAAATTACAATTTTTATGAATTGTACTTTGGCATAAACATGAAAGCACTAGTTGTTCTGGGTAGATTGCTCGACTGTCATGAAGCTGGCCATTAGATGAATTACAATTTTTTATGAATTGTACTTTGCCATTAACATGAAAGCACTGGTGGTTCTGGGTGGATTGCTCGACTGTCATGCAGCTGGCCATTAGATGAATTACAATTTTTATGAATTGTACTTTGGCATTAACATGAAAGCAGTGGTGGTTCTGGGTAGATTGCTCGACTATCATGCAGCTGGTCATTAGATGAATTACAATTGTTATAAATCACACTTCAGTGTTAAACATGGAAGCACTGGTTATTCTGTCGTGGAATGATCAGGTTAGATTACCTGCCATTGCAATGGTAGAATGCCCATGTTGCCGAATGGACAAATTGACATATGGGCGACCCAAAAGATGGGTGGACACCTAGTTGATCCCATAGGCTCAGTGTGAGCAAAAAAAGAGGAATGACTTGTTCTGTTCTGGCTACTAATTTATGCAATAATATGGTCACTCCTTGACTAAAACAAAATATGTTTCATCCAGTCAAATGAATAGTTCCATGGTAATCTTTCATATGATTTGATGATATACTGTATTTATAATGAGCCTAGCCAAGAACTGATTCGTATCAGAGAGTAAATGTAAGCATTGACAACATAAAATGTGTTTGAATGCATGTGGAAGGGTTGCCTGTTGATATGGTCAATATTGCCTAGGGTTTGATTGCAGTGGGAACAGTTCTTCAATTTTTGGTAGTCAACTTCACAATTGACTTATACTCAATATGATGTAACAACTCAACACGACAACAAAACCTTGACTTCTGGAAAGGCTCATTATAATTTTCAACAAAAACACGATTCCAGTATAGTCTAATTGTTAATGTTCAAGACATCATATTACGAAATGATACATACAGTATACCAAAAGTATATGTTACCTTTATTCCATGGATAAACCTGCTCCCTACTTTTGCTATATTTTTAGGGTTTGTTAAATAAACCTCAACGTTACCCTTGGCCATGATAGCACTGGTGTCTATCCGTGGCTTGTGCTTTTCTGGCTGAAATATAGGAGCAATTTCCATCTACATATACACCAACAACCTTTATAAGCAATAGTTTTGTCCTGATTAATAAGCCAGAAGTTCAACACCTTCCTAATATCCCTGTCTAAATGCAACACAGTTTGAAACACCACACCACTCAGTAGTAGTCACAGAGTGAAGAGAAATGATAAAGTAAAGCATTTTCTGATGAAATAGCATGTCCAGAAAGAATAAGAATTATGAATTTTCCATGCGTGTTAGAAAGGTACTCAGAATAGATTGAGAAATGCAGATAGTTAAAAAGGGGTTGTTAATATGAAAATGGGAGACAACGAAAAATCAGGGTTAGTTTGTAGTACATTTCAAAGATGAAAACATAAAAAGAAAGAAATAGCATAATAACTACAAGATGGAAAGATCAGCAAAGAGTTAAGTGATGCTAAGACTTTTCACCCCAAACAGTACAGAGAATGCAACATGAAAAACATGAGGTGTTAGAAGTTGGGAGTTTTGCTTTTTACCAATTTCAGATCCAGCGTTTGAGTTTTAGCTTTCTTTTTGTCATCAACCTAATGTAGAAAAGTTACAAATTATCATTATGTAGAAAAGTCGTCATCAACCTTATGCCAGTATTTAGAAAAGTTACAGATTACATCTAACAATGATCAAGTTTATGCAATGCTGATTGTATAATAATGCGATGCTTGTTTTGCATATGCACACAAATGATTTGTTTGTCATTTAGTAATGGATAAAGAACGCTATCCACAAATGTAACACCAACATTTCTTAGTCCTAAATTTCAAACAAAGAACATAAATAAACAATTTCAAAATTCAGCTATTTCACGCTACTTGCATGTTTGGTAAGTTAAATATAACAATGAAATTTAGAATTTCTATAATGGCAAGATAAATCACACAATTTAACTAAATGGGAAATATCCCAAAATCATGGACAGGTTGTTACAAAGGGGTCACTTCTAAACATTTTGAAATTTCACATCTAGAAAAAGATGAAACCAAACAGCTCATCAGTAATTCAAACAAGTCAAAGAGTATTCAAATTACTTTTGAGACTTCTAAAAAGTTTGAATCGTAATTTCAAGTGAAAGTAATTTAAACCTTGAAGGGGCTGACGTAATCCTAGCTTGATTATTCACAAACGAAAAAAGTTTTCATGTTTCCTATTACACTGTCAATATGGTTGACATTTTGGAAAGTTTACATTACATTTGGATATAAATTGGTCACAATAACAGAATTACCATTTTTTAAGCTAAAGAAATAATGACAATTTTAATCTTTTAAATGCTACCATTTTAATCATTTTAAGTACAAATTCAAAATATATGTCACCTATTGTGTTTCTGTTTTGACTAATTATTGAAAGATGTCACTACCAGTTTATTACTTACTTGATGCATCTGGTAGCAGTATGTCATGGTACGGTACACAGCTTCCTTATCAAGCGTGTCCTTCACTTCCTTGAATTAGATAAATTAATTCCACATATAATATCCATATGGTCAGGAAAATACACTGTTTATATGGATTTTAAAAAGCCGATTTATAGACGTGTTGCAAAAAGCTCGCGCACGCATTGTTACACATTTTGTGGCGTAATCCAGAGGATCCTCGCTTTTAACATGATAGAATGTGACGTTTTTGAGAAAAATGAACACTTATGGAAATCCTTTTGTCCTCCACATTTGCCTTTATATCTCAAAATATTTAAGGCGAATAAATCTGATATTGTATATGTATTAACAATGGGTTGGGAGCATCATAAAACACGAATCAATTGATATTTTAGGTGAAATAAATATACGTGTTGCTGTGCTTGAAAATAGGCGAATGGCGTAAATTAGCCCTATTTTAATGAATTTTGAAAACCTTTCGTCCTCCACTTTTCCACATACAACAGAAAACACATACTTTTGTGAACAAAATCAACTATTTATTAATAAACTAGAGTTTAGGAGCAAAATAATCATGTATGATTTATTAAAAATTGATCTCGTATTTTTTGTTTTATGTACACCTGAAAAGTTGAAGGTACCAAAAAATGAGCAAAAAAGGTCGCTGTCAACAGATTCTATTTTTCAGACTCTATGACGTCACAATATGGGACGCTTACTAAAATTCATCCTTTGAAATAAAACTTCCATCTACCTTTATCAAGACGAAAAATAAGTATAATAGTCATATATTGTTTGAGTTATGAGCGTTTAAAGACGAAAAATAATTCATAATGTAACGTGTCAACATGGGATATTTGCCAGATGTTTTGGTAAAAAACTCTTTTTTAAAAACGAACGCGCAAAAAATGTGAACGGAGTGTAGTTGATCTAAAATCTTCATCGAAACAGCTTTAAAATGATATATAACTTTAATTAGAATATTATCTTATAATCCGGGGAATCAAAGTTACATTCACGCGATACCCTTAAAAAACAAATGCGCCACCTTTTTGCGACACGTCATATGAATATGTTATTCATGCATAACATTCATATCTCATAATATTATATGAAATCAATTCTCATGAAATTTTTTTTAATTGATTCAATTACATTCCTTAATTTTTAAACCTTCTAATATGATCTTATATGTATGTTGGACATAAAGATGTAATAATTACCTTAGCAACTATGAGTGCCTCGGGAGAGTTCTCCTCTAAGAGGGATATGAGGAGGTTTGCAATGATCTGCCTTAGTTCAATCACCTTCTCCATAGGACAATCCTTGAACTGGCCAGCTCTTAGTACAAAGTTGATGTAATCTATCACTTTGTTGTTTAGTATCACAGTGCGGTTGGCTTGGTTACCCTGTAACAAAAATCACATACTTAGAAATAATTTGTTTGAAATAATTTGAAATGTTAGTTACAATGACTGGGTTTCACTTGCATTCAAGTGGTAATTTTTGAAAAAGGAAATCTTGCTGTACTGCAGATTAAAAATAAATCTTGTTTAAAGATAGCACCATGCTGTGAGCCATATGGTGAATCTTTTGCTTATTTTCAAATCAAGTTTGAGATTGAAGATATATGTGGCAGATTGAGGATACATGTTGCAGATTGAGGATTTTTGATGCAGATTGGGGATATATGATGCAGGTTGAGGATAAATGATGCAGATTGGGGATATATGATGCAGATTGAGGATATATGATGCAGATTGAGACTATATGTTGCGGATTGGGGATATACAGTATGATGCAGATTGAGGATATATGATGCAGATTAGGGATATATGATGCGGATTGAGAATATATGTTGCGGATTGAGGATATATGTTGCAGATTGGGGATATACAGTATGATGCAGATTGAGGATATATGATGCAGATTAGGGATATATGATGCGGATTGAGAATATATGTTGCGGATTGAGGATATATGTTGCAGATTGAGGATGATGCAGATTGGGGATATATGATGCAGATTGGGGCGATATGATGCAGATTGAGGATATATGATGCAGATTGAGAATATATGTTGCAGATTGGGGATATATGATGCAGATTGAGGATATATGATGCAGATTGAGACTATATGTTGCGGATTGAGGATATACAGTATGATGCAGATTGAGGATATATGATGCAGATTGAGGATATATGATGCAGATTGAGGATATATGATGCAGATTGAGGATATATGATGCAGATTAGGGATATATGATGCGGATTGAGAATATATGTTGCGGATTGAGAATATATGTTGCAGATTGGGGATATTCAGTATGATGCAGATTGAGGTTATATGATGCAGATTGAGGATATATGATGCAGATTAGGGATATATGATGCGGATTGAGAATATATGTTGCGGATTGAGAATATATGTTGCAGATTGGGGATATACAGTATGATGCAGATTGAGGATATATGATGCGGATTGAGAATATATGTTGCGGATTGAGGATATTTGATGCAGATTGAGGACATATGATGCAGAATGAGGATATATGTTGCAGACTGAGGATATATGATGCAGATTGAGGATAAAACTAAACTTTTGACTGTTCCCAGTAACATACAGATCAGATGTTTTACTGTCAATACTTACAGCAGTGAATTCATTCAGTGTGTTAAATATCTGTACTGCTAGGTCTATTGTATGCTGGTTGATATTAGAATATACAAGATTCAGGAACTGTGCACATTCAGCAACTATGTCAAATGACTTCATGTTGTCTGGTTGTTCCCGTAGGTAGTCCTGGAGACCTTTGTGTTGCCCATCACACATTCTGGCTAGTAACTTCAGGACAAGTTCTATGTAACCATCATCTCTGTATGTCGAGGCTTCGCCTGTAGTGTATACAGAATATACAATCATTTTGAGTGATATCACTTTTAGATAAGTGAGTTGTTGTCAAATATCAACTATGAGGCAATAAAATGATATCACTAGAAATGATCTGATATTGGGTTTATCCCATGATTACAATTAAAAATTCAAAAAATCAACAAAAACAAACATTTATCATACAGATGTGTGGTTGAAAAATGATTTCCTGAAAGATATCACACATGTATCTCCATAATATCAGAAATATAACCGAATGATATTGTAAAGAAAACATCAAATGTAAGATCATCTGTAATAATCAGAAGGATCGTTGGTGGTCAGAGCAGATTCAGGGTGAATATAAGAAAATGACCCTCTCACCAGAATCGTCCTGTTCCTCCTCCTTGCTGCCTGTGTTCAGTGGAGCCTTTGGTATGGGAGGCTTTGGAGGTTTCTTTTTCACTTTGATGTCATTCTTATCACCAACCTTGGCCACATCAGTGCTGGTGTTCACATTGTTCTAGATAAACAGAAACAAGGTTGCAATGAGGGGAGTGGGTTACTTCTATATTTCCATTTTAAGTTCAACTTCTTTTTACCTTTTTTGGTCCAATTTATTGTGCATGGTTCTAGATATTATTGCTTGATTGATTAATCCAAAGACTTAAGGCCATAAATGATACCAGATACAGATAAAGAATAAATGTCATGAGATTTAGAATTAGAAAACTAGAAAATTAAAAACTCCGTGGAGTGGCAAATTTCAATGAAAAAATTATTCATGGATCTGAAAAAATGTCATAATAAATATTTCAGTATAATATAGCCATCTTGTAATTATCAAGAATTTGGATTCTACTCTAAAATGACTTTAATTGGAGTCTACTAAGTGTTCCATCAGGGTTTATTTGATATTGAGCTTGACACTATTTTTTAGCCCTTACCTCTACAGTGACATTAATGAGATCCATCTCAATATCATTTGCATTATTGCATCCATTCACCATAAGGACCTGTCCCTCTGCTAGTGTCTCTAGCCCTGATTTCACCCCTTTAGCCCTGTTCTTTATCTTGGCTTTCACCAGCTTCTTCTCCTTGGCAAGGCTACTCTTCCTGCTGATTGGCTTACATGATGACTTTCTCTGCAAGCGGTTACTAAGATTATTCATTACATTGTTTTGCTTCAATCATGCACTGGTTGGATTGTAAATAATATGGATTGTTTGGTAAGGGAGCTCAATTTAACATTTCTATTTTCTACTGACATATACAGAGGATGGGTAAAGATGTATATGGAAGTTACACGATGTTAAAGTACTTAGTCAAGTGGACCTTTTTCCACATGCCTTTCTAATACAACCTCTAGAGATTGTGTCCAGGTAAAAAAAGACCAACAGAGAGTTCAAAATCATTTTATGTGTACATGCATTTCAAGTTAACAAACAGCCTCTGCCTGTTACCACCCAATACCATCCAAGAATTTGGACCATATGTAGTAATTATAGCAAAACATTTAAGATTGATGTTGCCTTAATTCTCCCTACCTTCCCAAGAGGCTTAGTGTGTGATGCCAGCTCCTTGGCTCTAGCCTCAGATTGGGCAGCAAGAGAACGCCTGCAATTAAAATGTTTTTGATATATTCATTTAATGATGTTAAGCTAAATAAGGATTAAAATAATGATCAAACAAAATTTGTGTTCACCTGTAGACTTGACAGGACCTGACTTGTCTGACTTGTCTTAGGACCATTAAGGACCTGACTTGTCTTAGGACCATTAAGGACCTGACTTGTTTTAGGACCATTAAGGACCTGACTTGTTTTAGGACCATTAAGGTCCTGACTTGTCTGACTTGTCTTAGGACCATTAAGGACCTGACTTGTCTTAGGACCATTAAGGACCTAACTTGTCTTAGGACCATTAAGGACCTGACTTGTCTTAGGACCATTAAGGACCTCACTTGTCTTAGGACCATTAAGGACCTAACTTGTCTTAGGACCATTAAGGACCTGACTTGTCTTAGGACCATTAAGGACCTGACTTGTCTTAGGACCATTAAGGACCTCACTTGTCTTAGGACCATTATGGACCTCACTTGTCTAAGGACCATTAAGGACCTCACTTGTCTTAGGACCATTAAGGACCTCACTTGTCTTAGGACCATTAGGGACCTGACTTGTCTTAGGACCATAAAGGACCTCACTTGTCTTAGGACCATTAAGGACCTCACTTGTCTTAGGACCATTAGGGACCTGACTTGTCTTAGGACCATAAAGGACCTGACTTGTCTTAGGACCATAAAGAACCTGACTTGTATTAGGACCATTAAGGACCTGGCTTGTTTTAGGACCATTAAGGACCTGACTTGTTTTAGGACCATTAAGGACCTGACTTGTTTTAGGACCATTAAGGTCCTGACTTGTCTGACTTGTCTTAGGACCATTAAGGACCTGACTTGTTTTAGGACCATTAAGGACCTGACTTGTCTTAGGACCATTAAGGACCTGACTTGTCTTAGGACCATTAAGGACCTGACTTGTCTTAGGACCATTAAAGACCTGACTTGTTTTAGGACCATTAAGGACCTTTTTAGATTTGTCAGATCTCACTGTGGCCTTGACAAGTTGTCAGCATCCACACGGGCCTTTAAGTGCTAATAAACATTGTCACATAAAGACACGTGTTACTTTTAGGTTTTGCCTAAATGCTTGACTACTATTGAATTAAATTTTTCACTGCTTCTTATGATAACGTACAAAAATAAAGAGGTGAACAAAAAACACTGTAAAAACAACTAGCTTATTAGCTACTTTCGGATTTCATTATTTACATACACATTACGCCCAATGCAATCCAAATTTGGTGAAGAACATATTTAAATTTGTGCTGACAGTGTACTTGTGTTTGAGTTTGTGAGTTGCATGCAAGATGTGCAAAAGCAGATAAAGATGGCAAAACACCAGAATATGATACCTCATACAAAACAACATTTTATTATTTCACCATAGGTCTTGTAGATTTACTGCAATGCTATAATAGCTATTGATCATTTCTTATTTTATATTATTTATTGATAATTGCACTTGTATTTCAAACCATGCCAATCATGCTCAATGTCTCTGCACAGGCGAACTAGGACAAAACAGGACGCCACAAGAAAATTTAAGCCAGATCTCTCCAGTATTTTTCTCAACAGGATGTAATCCTTTACTAGCTGTTTTGGCCGAATAATCCCAATATCACATCCTTTTGATGACAGGGTGCCAAATGATTTTAAACAGGGTGACATGTTATTTGCATCCTCCGAACGCAGGGTTCCAGACGTCATCCAGTAAGTTCCTTCCTTCTTCCACGGTGGAAGAAGGAGGTACGAGTTCTGAAGGCCTGTGTTCGGAGGATGTGTTATTTGATGAACTTTCAAACAGGTGAAGTAACTAGTTTTGTTAATGCTGGGGATATCGCAGTAGCTTATGAGACTCTTCAACTTTTTCACATTATGTATGACCACTTTATATTATGATTTTGCAACATAGTGCAGTCAGTTAGGTTTTTAATTGCACATGCTATATATAAAGCACCATTTTTTGACAGAAGTATCATGAATACATATATTTTTGATATCTAACGAAGTGGTTGTAAAAAGTGGCCCAAGATGATAATAGCAGGCCTCGAAATTTTTGCACATTTACATTGAGCTCCATGTTAATTTATCAATCTTCATAAGGCCCCCTGCAGAACAGTTAAAGAGAAATAAAGCCAATGTTCCTAGTATGTTACAATAACATGATTATCTTCAAAATAAGAAGGGTTGTTTTTTTTCTTTTACCTAGTTCCAAAGATATAGGAGTTTGAATTTTGGAAAATTCCCATTGGCTGCCATTATAAACCGCTATCAATATGGCTTTATTTAAGTCTCATTTTCTAGAAAAATCCACTATGAAATTTTCTAATATTGTAGATTTCTATAGTCAATATATTGACTTAAAAGAAATCAAACAGGCACATTTCTAAAAATCTCTTATTTTTAATATATTTAGCCGTGAAGTTGTATAAAAAACCTATATTGAGCCCCATGTTAATTTGTCAATTTTCAAAAGACCCCCTGCAGAACAGTTCTAAAGTAATAAAGCCCATATTCCTAGTATCTTACAATAACATGATTATCTTCAAAATAAGAAGGGTTGTTTTTTTCTTTTGCCTAGTTCCAAAGATATTGGCATTTGAATTTTGGAAAATCCCCATTGGCTGCCATTATAAACTGCTATCAATATAACTTTATTAAAGTGTCCTTTTCTCAAAAAGTGTACTATGAGATTTTCTAATATTGTAGATTTCTATAGTTGATATATTGACTTGAAAGAAATCAAACAGGCACATTTCTAAAAAATTCTTATTTTTGATATATTTAGCCGTGAAGTTGTATAAAAAAACTATATTGAGCCCCATGTTAATTTATCAATTTTCAAAAGACCCCCTGCAGAACAGTTCTAAAGTAATAAAGCCCATATTCCTAGTATCTTACAACAACATGATTATCTTCAAAATAAGAAGGGTTGTTTTTTTTTCTTTTGCCTAGTTCCAAAGATATTGACATTTGAATTTTGGAAAATCCCCATTGGCTGCCATTATAAACTGCTATCAATATAGCTTTATTAAAGTGTGCTTTTCTCAAAAAGTCTACTATGAAATTTTTTAATATTGTAGATTTCTATAGTTCATATATTGACTTAAAAAAATTCAAACAGGCCTATTTCTAAAAATTTCTTATTTTTGATATATTTAGCCGTGAAGTTGTATAAAAACCTATATTGAGCCCCATGTTAATTTATCAATCTTCAAAAGACCCCCTGCAGAACAGTTCTAAAGTAATAAAGCCCATATTCCTAGTATCCTACAATAACATGATTATCTTCAAAATAAGAAGTTTTTTTTTTCTTTTGCCTAGTTCCAAAGATATTGGCGTTTGAATTTTGGAAAATCCCCATTGGCTGCCATGCTATCAAGATGGGTTTATCAAAGTGTCCTTTTCTCAAAAAGTCTACTCTGAAATTTCCTTATATTGCAGATTTCTATAGTTAATATATTGAATTTAAAGAAATCAAACAGGCACATTTCTAAAAATTTCTTATTTTAATATATTTAGCAGTGAAGTTGTATAAAAAACCTGTGTGCAACTTAATGGCTCAATATATTAAAAATGAGAACTTTTTAGAAATGTGCCTATTCGATTTTTTAAAGTCAATACACTTTGATAAACCCATCTTGATAGCATGGCAGCCAATGGAGATTTTCCAAAATTCAAACGCCAATATCTTTGGAACTAGGCAAAAGAAAAAAAAAACCTTCTTATTTTAAAGATAATCATGTTATTGTAAGATGCTAGGAATATGGGCTTTATTACTTTAGAACTGTTCTGCAGGGAGTCTTTTGAAGATTGATAAATTAACATGGGGCTCAATATAGGTTTTTTTATACAACTTCACGGCTAAATATATTAAAAATAAGAAATTTTTAGAAATGTGCCTGTTTTTTTTTTTTTAAGTCAATATATCAACTATAGAAATCTACAATATTAGAAAATTTCATAGTAGACTTTTTGAGAAAAGGACACTTTAATAAAGACATATTGATAGCGGTTTATAATGGCAGCCAATGGGGATTTTCCAACATTCAAATGCCAATATCTTTAGAACTAGGCAAAAGAAAAAAAACAACCCTACTTATTTTGAAGATAATCATGTTTTTGTAAGATACTAGGAATATGGGCTTTATTACTTTAGAACTGTTCTGCAGGGGGTCTTTTGAAGATTGATGAATTAACATGGAGCTCAATGTAAATGGGCAAGATTTTCGAGGCCTGCTATCATCAACTGGGAGGACTTTTCAACACAACTTCGTTAGATATCAAAAATATATGTACCAAAGATGCTTTGGTCAAAAAATGGTGCTTTATATATAGCATGTGCAATTCTATGGTTTTATTGACCTAACTGACTGCACTAACAGGTTTTAGATGCAGTAAATGTACATGCGATTAAGACTATCTAAGTGTTTCATTCAGGCCATTCCATCTCATTCAGGGGTTATCTAAAGTGATTCATTCAGGGTAAATTCTCATTCAGGGGTTCCAGACAGTAAGCATTCAAATCATTCACGACCAGGTTGTAGTATCTGGTTTTGGATGTGTCAAAAGTATCAATAGTAATACTAGACGGAGGTTCTCCACATATATGGTCACCCAAACCTGTCTGCCTGAAAATTATTTTTTCTTTTGACAAATAGGCCCTTATTCCCTAGCTCAAAACGCTATACAGAAACCTGATAATTTCAGGAAAACTTGTAAAATGGGTTTTGCAAACTACTTTGTAAAAAAATATGCCCAACACCAAGGGACCCCTAATTTTGTCCAACGTGCATTTGTGCCTAACACAATTTGTGTGTACATTTTGACTATTACTATTACACAAAGTAAACAACATGATTGAATAATATTGAAAAAACTTTGTGAACTGACTTTTTTGAACTGAAGATTTTCTTAATCAAAAAAGGGAATATAAACTCTGCAATTATGAATATGGAAATAAAAGAGTGGGGATAAAGCAGGGAGGGTAAATAACTACAACCATGTCAATCACAAGACGGGAGGTAAGCTCATTCTAGATTGGATATTTTCACCTTTCTTTCAAAGCAACTACACTTAATTGCATTCTATTCCTTATTGCTGCAAAGAACACTTCCTCACGGGTGCTAAAGAAATATTTCAGCAAATTGCCCTGGAAAATAGCAATTCATACAAAAACGTGTCAGTATCAAGTGACGACACAAGCAACATACAGTGCCCCCTATCATCAGACATGGGGTCATACAAATATGCACATATATAGCACACACATAAGCTGCACGACTGCCAAGCAGTTACTGTTCCCATTTTGGTTGAAATACATGAATTTGACGCAAGCAATCATGTCATATTTGAACCTCTCCTACAGAATGCTAATAGACAGATCATACAATTAGACAGAAATAATTGTAATGCCCTATTATTGTTTACACATATATATTGTCATGCTCTATCATTCACTTTCTTGAACACATCAACTTAAACATTCATACTAAGGCAGATTCTTGAAAATCATACATGTCATTCTGGCATTTCAATAAATTCTTTTTCAAAATGCAGGAATGGCAGCATCATTTATTCTTAGACTTTATGTTAAGCAACTCAATATCCAATCTGTAAAAGGATTTTGTTAAAAAAATTAAAAATTAAACTGTTCACAATGATCATACGTATCTGAAACACTACCTTTTTAACACTATCCCAGATTAAATATACTGATATGTTCAATCTTGCAAATGATGAGTATGACAATAAAGCAGCGCTTAATCAGCAGCAGCAAGCTCAAGACCTTCATCAAATAATAGCAGCATTAGTTCAGTAAAACATCTCTATTCATCTTTAATCAAAAACAACCAAATTACAGCAATTGAGTGCCATGCCCATTAACAGCAGGCAATGGGCAATTTTCTTCACTTGTTTTTAATAACCATGTGTTAAGATTTGTAGTGAAAATCAGCAAGAGTGGTCTTAATTTAAACTATGGTCTCTTTCTAAAATCTCTGATAATGTATACAGACAACAACTGAACAAGAAAATGTAAGAATATACACATTTTACTGTACAAATAACCAACTATTAGTAAAATAGTGAACTTACAATAGCATAAAATTGCACAAAATGTGATTCAATGCTATGTTTTTTATCAATATCTTTGTGTAGAATTAAATCACATTAAACAATCTGTAATCACAAATATGCAATACATAATGTTACACATAGCAACATGATGTTACACAATAGCATCATGATGTTTCACAATAGCAACACAATTTTACGTATAGCAACATGATGTTACACAATAGCAACATGATGTTTCACAATAGCAACAAAATGTTTCACATGGCAACATGATGTTACACAATAGCAACATGATGTTACACAAAAGCATCATGATGTTTCACAATAGGAACACAATGTTACACATAGCAACATGATGCTACACAATAGCATCATGATGTTTCACAATAGCAACACAATGTTACACATAGCAACATGATGTTACACAATAGCATCATGGTGTTACACAATAGCAACACAATGTTACACATAGCAACATGATGTTACACATAGCAACATGATGTTACACAATAGCAACATTATGTCGCAAAAGAACACCATGACATCACATATATAGCAATATTTCACACAAGAGTGAATCAAAAAAGAATATCACATCTCCTAGACTATAGCTTCTAACCAGTCTCAGCTTTCTACCTTTCTTTCATCCCAAGCACGGAAAGTTGCATTCTGTTCCTGATTGCTGCAAAGAAGGCTTCCTCACGAGTACCAAGAAAGTATTTCAATAGGCCTGTCTAGAAAAAAACATTAAAATAATGACTCAATGAGCAAGCTTCTGAAGAAATGGTGAATCTTTGATTTTGTAGGAGCACTCAAAATCCACATCAGTTATTAGCCAGCCTTGGGTACCTAAAGTTAGAGACATTTCTCTCGCAAATAAACTCACTGTAGGATTCATATCCTTGATCAATATATAAATGGATATGTTTGTTATGGAATGATATGCTAGAATTGCTTTCTTTGACAATTCTTATCCAATATATACTAACTGTCTTTTCAAATATCCATGTACTCGTATATCATATTATAATGGGCTCATGCTAATTACTTGTAATTGGACAGAAGAATATTTTACATTTTGTGTATTTAGTTAAATGTCAAAAACTTGCAAAAATGGAGACCATAACAACTTTTGGTGGTGACATAACAAATGAAAATGCTCTGATTTCAAGTAATTCAAGAGATATGAAAACATTTGCAATAAACACAAGTTTCTCTCTGTGAAGGAAAAACATTAAGAATCCAAGTATATGACGTGTAAGGTAATGGGGCTACTGTTTATTAGCAAGTCTCCACCTAAAAACGAAGAACCAGATTAGTGTGCATTACTATACAAGCTGGTCAACAATCTTAACTTGAGGAAATTTTCTCAACATTCTTCAATTTACCTGTGTCCATTATCCTGGATTAGTAAAATGCACTAGTGATGTACTGAATCACAGCAGCTTCAGAAGCAATCACACATTATACCATATTTGTATTCATAAAAGCGTGTATAACAAATCTCAGGTATACTCCCTGATCATTCACATTAATTTCCCAATTTTAATCAATTTATTTCACTTAATACCATCCCATGAGGTTTAAATGATGTAGAGTTTACAAAAACACCTTAACTTATGTCCTAACTAGGTACTATGTATATGTAATGTAAAGGCCATATAATAAAATGTTTCCAAATCTGGCTCACCTGTGCTTCAGCATTAGCATTGAACAGCATGATTGAGACAAAGCAGAGGACTTCTCTGACGATGCGGTCATTCTTCCGTGCAAGATGGGGTAGCACTTGAATCAGGGCACCCCTGCCATTAAGTAGTGATTGCACTGAGCGGATGAACATCAACTGACTGAAAATAAATTGATATTATATTACAACTAGATTAATTAATTAGTACCGTGGGTACTGGGCTCACATGGTCACATTTTTTGCTGATTTTTTGCCAATAATTTGTAACAAAACTATTTCATACAACTACTCTTTACAGTGACATGGCTTTTTGCAATGCAAGACACCTGAAATTATTTGTAAAGCTAGGAAATGGGCCAAAATTGAATTTCGCGAGACAAAAATGGCGACCATTTTGAAATCAGGCAAGCGTTTGAACCAGGAGTCATAGGGGAGTTTTTTGTATTGATGTTGAACAAAAATAACTTGAAACTGGAATCCTATCTACAGAGGTTTTAAGCAAATTGTCCAAAAGAGGATTTCGCGAGACAGATGGACAAATCAATGTTAACTAAAATGGCTGAAAATAAAAAAAACGGATATAATATTTTGCCGATTTTTTGTAACAAAATTATTTCATACAACTACCTTTTACAGTGACATGGCTTTTTACAATGCAGGACAGCTGAAATTATTTGTAAAGCTAGGAAATGGGCAAAAATGAATTTCGCGAAACAAGAATGGCAACCATTTTGAAAATAGGCGAGCTTTTGAACCAAGAGTCATAGGAGAGTTTTTTGTATTGATGTTGAACAAAATTAACTTAAAATGGGAATCCTATCGACAGAGGGTTTAAGGTAAATGGTCCAAAAGTGGATTTTGCGAGACAGATGGACAAATCAATGTTAACTAAAATGGCTGAAAATAAATAAATGGATATAATTTTTCGCTGATTTTTCGTAACAAAATTATTTCACACATCTACTCTTTACATTGATATGGATTTTTACAATGTAGGACACTTGAAATTATTTGTAAAGCTAGGAAATGGGTCAAAAGTGAATTTCGCGAGACAAAAATGGCGACCATTTTGAAAATAGGCGAGCTTTTGAACCAGGAGTCATAGGGGAGTTTTCTGAATTGATGTTGAACAGAAATAACTTAAAACAGGAATCCTATCGACAGAGGTTTTAAAACGTGCCACAGAAAGTGGATTTCGCGAGTCAGATAGACAAATCAATGTTAACTAAAATGGCTGAAAATAAAAAATGGATACAATTTTTCGCTGATTTTTTGTAACAAAATTATTTCATATATGTACCCTTTACATTGACATGTATTTTTACAATGTAGGACACCTGAAATTATTTGTAAAGCTAGGAAATGGGTCAAAAGTGAATTTTGCGAGACAAAAGTGACGGCCATTTTGAAAATAGCCGAGCTTTTGAACCAAGAGTCATAGGAGAGTTTTTTGTATTGATGTTGAACAAAAATAACTTAAAACAGGAATCCTATCGACAGAGGTTTTAAAACGTGCCACAGAAAGTGGATTTCGCGAGTCAGATAGACAAATCAATGTTAACTAAAATGGCTGAAAATAAAAAAATGGATACAATTTTTCGCTGATTTTTTATAACAAAATTATTTCATATATCTACCCTTTACATTGACATGGATTTTTACAATGTTGGACACCTGAAATTATTTGTAAAGCTAGGAAATGGGTCAAAAGTGAATTTCGCGAGACAAAAGTGATGGCCATTTTGAAAATAGCCGAGCTTTTGAACCAAGAGTCATAGGAGAGTTTTTTGTATTGATGTTGAACAAAAATAACTTAAAATGGGAATCCTATCGACAGAGGGTTTAAGGTAAATGGTCCAAAAGTGAATTTTGCGAGACAGATGGACAAATCAATGTTAACTAAAATGGCTGAAAATAAATAAATGGATATAATTTTTGGCTGATTTTTCGTAACAAAATTATTTCATACATCTACTCTTTACTTTGCAATGGATTTCTACAATGTAGGACACTTGAAATTATTTGTAAAGCTAGGAAATGGGTCAAAAGTGAATTTCGCGAGACAAAAATGGTGGCCATTTTGAAAATAGGCGAGCTTTTGAACCAGGAGTCATAGGGGAGTTTTCTGAATTCATGTTGAACAGAAATAACTTAAAACAGGAATCCTATCGACAGAGGTTTTAAAACGTGCCACTGTTATTGACAGAAAGTGGATTTCGCGAGTCAGATAGACAAATCAATGTTAACTAAAATGGCTGAAAATAAAAAAATGGATACAATTTGTCGCTGACTTTTTGTAACAAAATTATTTCATATATCTAATCTTTACATTGACATGGACTTTTACAATGTAGGACACCTGAAATTATTTGTAAAGCTAGGAAATGAGCCAAAAGTGAATTTCGCGAGACAAAAGTGAGGGCCATTTTGAAAATAGGCGAGCTTTTGAACCAGGAGTCACAGGGGGGTTTTCTGTATTGATGTTGAACAAAAATAACTTAAAACAGGAATCCTATCGACAGAGGTTTTAAAACGTGCCACTATTGTTGACGGACAGACAGACAGACAGACAGACAGACAGACAGACAGACAGACAGACAGACAGACAGACAGACAGACAGACAGACAGACAGACAGACAGACGGACAGACAGACGGACAGACAGACGGACAGACAGACGGACAAGTGAGTGATTGCAAAAGCTCACCATGTGAGCTAAAAACAGCAACACAAAAGTGTGGCTAATCCCATCAAATACCTGGTCAAGAGGCAGAAAACTTTGACTTTCAGCTATCATTTCTCCAAATGTCCATCCTAGATGTATTGTCAAATGATGATCATGTCATGGTTCCATATATCAAGATGTTATAAAATCAATAAAATCACTCTATATAATGTAAAATGTGTAAAATGACAGGTACAATATTCTTGATACATCATGAACATTATAATATTGTGAAATAATAGGTAGAATGTCAAAGGACTATAAACATGTCTTATACTTATGTAAATGTTTCTATAAGAATATAAACATGCCATTAACATGACAGAATGTCACAATCAGGTAAGTTATTGCAACTGGTTAAAAAATGTTACATTAGTTCACTCATTTGTTGCCATGGCATCAGATATTGGCAGAAAAGTGTTGGAACATGTTTATGTATGTTCACAGCAAAAATTTGAAGTCATTCTAAACAATATATGTTAAGTTATTGGAAGTTGTAAGAATTTGTTACATGAACCGAACTACGTGTGATCTTAAAAATACTTTTGTCCACTATATCCTGACTAAGATAGTTCCGTATGTTCAGAAATTTGGGAGTCTCATGCTATTTTCAGATTCATGTACACAAAACTCATTCCATGCATCTACATCTTTTAGTTTTGCTAAGAGTTGACTCCAGAAATGTACCTAGATTATCAAGTGGGGGCTTAAATTTTTCCCCCGATGTATGAAAATTTCCAAAAATGGTGACCTACATTTTTTTATATGAAATAGTAGTAAAGGTCATTGAATTTACTCATTTCTTTGCATCAAGAATATTTATTAATGCTCAACTAAAATTTCCACTCTATCCATTCGGTGGATAAAACCTTACCTACAGTACAACATATCATTTATTGAGGTTAATGAATGCAATAAGCACTTACCGTTTATTGAAGGCAAGTGATGGATTTTCTTCCCAATCTTCAGGCAGCTTCCTCTCCTCATTGTGTATCATAGCACGCAACAACTGCAGACATTTAATGTCCAGTTCTTCCTGGTCTCTACGTTGACTCTCTGGCAGCTTGTTGTTCTGAGCAGAAATCCTAAACCATACAAGGCCAAATATGAACTAAAATATATTTTATGAAATCACTCATTGTTTTGTATATTTCATGAGACAAATAACAAGGTAGTAGTACAGTATTGTCTCCTTTTGGCAAGATCTACACCCATGACATGACATCATATGGCCCTATACCCTTACAAGACACCAAACTTTTAAAGCACACCCAATGAATGTTTAAAAAAATCGAACTTCTGGTATTTGAGATATCAGAGATTATATCTTTTATAAAACATAGTAGCTATTTTGAATTAAGTCATATTGGAAATTACCTGTGATCATAAGGTATCAGCCTACTAAATTTAAACTAATCTGTCAACCGGTATTTGGGTTATCTTCTGGTCATACAAATAAATGGACAGACAGACAAATGGATGATCAGACGGACAGTTTCTCTATATCCCTCATGGTCAACAGATGGTGGAATAATGACGCAAAAACTAAAAAGTAACTTACGCTAACTGATTGATGAGCTTTTCAGCCATTTCAAACTTTTTTGAAGCTTTCTTCTCATGTGGCTTGATGAAGCATCTGAGCATACTCTGGAACTCTTCCCCTAGAGGGAGCTCTTCATCCCCACCAAGATCAGTGTACTCTAAAACAAAAGGGGAAATTCAGAATAATTTCCAAAATAATGGGCAAAGGGGAAGTTTGGGGGAGCTTTCAATGCTATACGAGAATAACATGGAAAATTCTACTGAATAATAACAACATGAAACTTTGTACATTGCAATTTTACAATAGGCAATTTGCGTTATTCAAGAAAGTGTAAATACACTAATTATAATACAGTATACAGTATCTTTCACCACTTTTTTTCTCAAATACATTTTTGATAAAATAATATTCATATAGTCACATGTATTCATTGAGAATCTAAATTAGTAATGCTTAGTAATGTGTATTGTTGAACAATGATTAGTTTAAAACATGTTTTAAAGAATTTTAAAACAATCATATATTCAATTCAATATACATGAATGTTATATCAAGCTGTGTTACTGAAACTTCAACAAATTTTGCATGACACTATAACAACTATACTACAACTCCATCGATTTCTCATATTGGTCTATTATTATGTGAAATCATGAACTTTACACGATTAAATAATTTGTTAACTTTGATCAAATCACTCATTAATTTCCCTACTTGTGCAGCAAACAGTAAATTCATAATACATATGATAGTTGATTAATAAAAACAACTCCTGTGATTTAGTTACCTCGTTTCTGGAATTCTATCAGGAATATGTAAATATAATGAAATAATTGACAACATATACACTCACTTGCCTAAGCTGAATGACCATAACAGCAGTTACCATCACCACAAATGGCAGATAAATATACATGTATGTACTTAAATAGCTCTTTTGCTTGATTCTCGATAACAGGAAAAAATTGATTTCATTTGTGGTCTACATCCTTCTTAAATGGAAATAAGACATGACACTCATCCACCATTATTGATGTTGTTGACTGCTGTTAGGGTTCAGTGCAGGCTCCCATTGAGCAACAATGACATTGTGAGTATAGAATGAACTTTTCATGCACATCATCGTTTCAACACTTTCAAAATATGGGATCATTTGCATATTGGACACACATGTACTTCAGATTTATGATTCATAATTTCATTTTTATTTCAAAAATTGTAAAAAGTAAAATATTCATAATATGTAAAACCCCAAAAAGTTAGTTTTTATATTGTTAGAATATATGTTATTGATTGATAATAAGTTTCAAACCACCAAGGGATTACAAACTTTAGTTTACATTGGTAAATGTTTTAATTATTGAAAAATAGTAGTACAATTTCAGACCCAGAAAAGGTAGACAAAATTCAAGGAATACGCTGGAGTATGTAAGTTACAACAAGAATTTAAAGGTTCAAATCTGTAAGTGAATAAACTAAGGATAGGGACACAGACATATTGAAACAAGAATAAAATTTAGACTCCTTTCCAGCTTTCATGGCTTGGCTTTTACCAATCTTATTTAAAAATAATCTCACCTCGTTTTGATTTAATTTTGAGTTGCGCTGCCACTGTGTTGTGACCTCCAAATAAGGTACTACAGTTCCCAGAGAATGTTCGGAATTTGGCGTTCAGTTCCAATTCTTCTGCATAATAGGCCATGTTTCCCTGTAAAAAACAGTCAATCAACCATAAGTTTTCTTTTTGATGTGTCTTGTTTATAAACAATACATTACATACTGTATTTGCATGTTTTTCCTTTGCTGGTTTGTGATAATAATAACAACTTATGTTTCAGCCTAAATATAACACTATACAACACTATAGTGCATTGTTCAATAACAATAAATAATGTGATCAATCTGAATCTAAATAATGTTTTTAATTCTCTCGCTGTACTCTAGACTGAGTAGCATTTTTGTGTGCATGTTTAAACCCATTATTACCAAACATGATCACATAAGATATGATAATTATTTTTTCCTTAACTATGGACAAGTTTGACAGTTAAGAAAATCTTTTTACAGTTCATAATCATGATCAATCCAAGTGTATCACTACACCTTATCTTAAATATGAAAGAGCAAAAACGAGATGAGAACATCAAAGAGAAGGAATTTCTCTGATAACTGTACATGTATCAGTTTATCCTTTCTTAAACTTATCATAATTCCTGCTCTATTTTCTCAGCATTTACTAGCTACATGGCCATGGGGTAGTATAGTAACATGCATTAGCTTTACACTGTCATCTATTATGCTTTAAATGATGGGATTATCAATAACAACAGTAAAAGCAACATTTCTGTAGTTAGCAAAATACAAAAGACTGATCTACATGTAATGTAAAGTCATTTTGCAATCCTTTACAAATATATACTCTAACATAGCATTAATACAAGGCAGTGTGCTTTAAATATGAACAATGGCAATGTTTCTCTAATATAAAATTAAATATCAGTTTAATCTTTTATTCACTTCAATCTTTTTAGACACATATAACATATAAAAAAGGCATTAACATGCAAATGTCACCACCTGCCATTTGTTACAGACAGAGAATGCCGTAACAACCATCAACAAAAAAGGTGTAGACCATAACAATATGTCATCACTAGTGGTGGTGACATAATTAAAGAAACACAGCCTCATTTGGACCTTTAATCAAAATTGTGCACTGTATAATGCTCTTCTGTCTATTCAAATATATATCTAATATTTAAGGTATATGCTTTTTAAAGTTAAACCCATGCTCCTCTGCAAAGAAAAATTATTTTAAAACAATTTTTTCTTTAACAGCGGGTTTATTTCACTCAAAAATTCTAATCCATAAGTTTAGTGCCACAAGACTACAAAATATTCAAAATTGTTCTTTGTGCAATAGAGGTTTTAGTGCAATTACAACTTGTACATTCATCACATTTCTCTTAATTTCAGTACAACATCTAAATTAAAATAAGCTGATTTCATAAATGAATTCACATAGTGCATGTGGCATATTAATTACACAAGAATCATAGGTGCTTTACGTTGTAATTGGAAGCATCTAACTATTTCATATTTCTATATCATTTTGGTTATTCATGGATTTATTACTAATGGTAACTACTTCTATCAATAGCCTATAAAGTAGTAATCCTGATGCTGAAACACTGGTTTTACAAAGATTTTTACATCAAATTGTGGATTTAAAACAAAGAACAAAATCTAGTATCTAAAAGTTGTTGATGGGAAATTCCATTGGACGGAACATTGAATATAATCAAAATTCCTTTTTTGCTGAAATTTTTTCCAGTTGAAAATTTGTTTTGATCACAATTCCTTAGCAACAGAAAACGCAAAATTTCATAGCAACAGAAATTTTGATGCTCAATAACAGCTCAATGTTTTCTCAGTGTGTCAGATCAGTGTGAGGTGAAATTGTGAAATACTGTACCTCCTGCTGTTTGGTTAATTGCATGAGTGCCGACAATGCCCCAAACTTCAGAGCCGCACATGTGCAGAAACAGGTCAGTGAATGCTCATGTCATATGTTAATACATAGTGAGGAGGGGAATATTCCGAGATGTGGGGAATATTCCGAAAGAAAAATTGAGAGATAGTGGAACATTCCAAAATTAACAATAAAAAGTATGTTTAGGGATCATGCAAAGGAAAGTGATTTGGCTCTCATAGCTACAACTCAGATAATAATTCAAAGGTCATTAATTATTCTGTAGACTGATCAGGATTTGCATTTATTGTGGTTCCATAATTTAATTAGGACATTTTGAAAAAGATGTCGATTAATTTTCAAGTCTCAAACCTCCAAATCTTCTAAGAGCATCGCCAAATCCAATGACTGAAATATATAGTTATTTACACATGTGCAACTCTAACTTAATTTTTGACGCTTGGTGGGCTTATTCAATTCAATATTTATGTTTGCATTGTTTGAGGGTCTTTAGAGGAACTTGTCTATTCTTCATAGATACACTTTTAAGACTTTATCACCACACCTCACCATTCATGTGTATGTAAAGTAATGAGTTAAATACAACAGATAGTACAATGTTTTCATTATATTTGGCATCAACATATATTACATGTACTGTACATGGGTACGAAATGACAAATATCAAAGATGGTAAAATAATTGGAAAACAATATTAATAGAGAATGATGTTGGGTTAATAAAGAAACATTATGATGTTTTTGCCACTACATGTGCATGTATTTGTTAGAAGGATCCACTGATATTAATGGACATTTGACTCACCGCAAAATGTGTTCCCCAATGTATTGGTAATAACATTACAAATTGTTATATAAACCATGGGCTTTTTTCAAAAAAACTTACATCATCCAAATAACAAAAGATTTCATTTGGGCTTTCAAGTTCAGGTATTTTCAACAGAATGGAGAAGTTATTAAGACAGATGATCAAATATTTCAAAAACTTAAAAATGAAAGCACGATTGCAATATTTCAGATGCACTTAACGAATCAGTCCTTGTGAACACATCCATAACAAAGACAACTGAATCAAATTGAGTTAAAGAATCAACATTTTGTATATAAGACAAGTATTTATTTTCAGCCTAAATTGAAGATGACCAAGAACGAACAAATGCTGTATTAAAAAAATAGAATTATGTAGAACTTATTAATTTAATATCATCATTTAACAGTCATGCTGATAGGTTTCAAAATGCATTTACGATACAGGATAGGATCAATAGTAACTATCAGATTTGATGCATGGGAAAATTCCATGGAAAATTTCCAATAATGGAAGATGGAAAATCCCAACTTTAATCAGACTTTATGCAATGTCATTCTGTACAAAAGAACTGCTCAGGTATACATCAGGCAATAAACATAACAAAGCAAAGTGAGGGGGGGGGGGTAATAGCCTTTCTTTTTTCTTTTTGTAAAAGCAAGCAGAGATACAAATCATAATTATGCAAAGTGATTGCCAAAAATTAACCATTTGTAAAATGTAACAGTTTTATTGTTGATGACAACACCCCAAAAATCATTAATTGTCAATATGTATTGTATCAGCAAACAATTTTAAATATTTTGAAATCCGAACTTTGTAAATATTTTAACTTTGCTATATTAAGGTGTACAGCTGGTCATTTTATCCATTTCTATTTTTGAAGAACTCACAAGGTAAGGTTTGTCTAAATCTCTCGAAAATATGTATATATATAAGCCAAAAATGTGGGGTAGAAAACATGGGTTAAATGTGCATAAATTAACTTAAACTAAATTTCCTCCAGCTGCCTACCTTAAGGTATACTGTATTAGTGAGAGGTGTCGCATCCAAGTGATGTGATTGTTATATAAAACTATGTATTGGTACATATACATATATATTATACACATATTTTAAGTTACAGTCAAATAAAGCTATCTACCTGATTGGATGATGTTTGCTTGGCTTTTATCCTGGTGGCTGACCGTAGATTATCAACAACTCGTTCTACAATCTGAAAAACACATTCATTTAAATGAATATTAACACAACTAAAGTTTCAAAAGAAAATAAATATAATCTAAGATTGATCAAGGTACTTTAAATGTATAAAATTATTAAGAATTCAAAATTAATCATGCCTTTCATTAACCTTGCTCATGTCAGTCTGCAGTTCACTCACAATGATGTGAACTCCACTTACATATGATCTGTACTTCATTTACAAATGATCTGTACTTCACTCACAATGATCTGTAGTTCACTTACGAATGATCTGTACTTCACTCACAATGACCTGTACTTCACTTACACTGATCTGTACTTCATGTACACTGATCTGTATTCCACTCACAATGATCTGTACTTCACTCAAAATGATCTGTACTTCACTTATACTGATCTGTACTTCACTTACAAATGATCTGTACTCCACTCAAAATGATCTGTACTTCACTTACACTGATCTGTACTTCACGTACACTCATCTGTATTCCACTCGCAATGATCTGTACTTCACTCAAATGATCTGTACTTCACTTATACTGATCTGAACTTCACTTACAAATGATCTGTACATCACTTACACTGATCTGTACTTTGCATACTGTTGCAAATGCATTGATGCCTACTACCATGGTCTTCAAGTAGTTTGTGTTGGTTGAGAAAGGAGACATTGCATCACAGGCAGACTGAAAAAAAGGAGACAATACACAACAGGTGATACATGTACAAGGGAAAATATGTGCACTGTACATGTAAAAGAACAATTCCTTTGGATGAGATGAGAGATATTGCATCACATATATAAGTAAAACATATAAAATATCATAGTACATGTATACTTTCATTCATTACTTCCATTAATGAGGGCAGATCATGCTTCTTAATTGTGAAATTAAGTTCACCTTTACCTTGTTGTCCATTTCATGAATAGAGGATGCAAGTATGCCATTTAAAATATCATTTCTTAAAGTATGGGATGGTAAAGTGACTTTGATATAAGAACCTGAAATAAAGAATTTAGTTGCTGCACATACCCCTAGTGCCTTGGACAGGGCCTCTGATAGTTCAATCTCTTTGGGGTAGACCTCTTTATCTGGGCTGTAGAAGCTGCCATAGAATGTCTGTAATGAAAGGACTATATGTTATTTATGGATGATACAATGGGTTATAATATGCAAGATTTGGTCAGAGTATAAGTATTGGTATTCACAAAGAGCTTTGTTGAATTTTAGACAGAAAATACCAGTGGCAATTACCATTTTGTCATTCTATAAATCCATAAAAATTCAGGCCTTTTACAAGAATGTGGAGAATAGAAGCCTGTGGCAATTTGTATGTTGTCAATTTCACCTGTAAGAATGGTATGACTGCATCTATGAGGTAGTGCATGGTGTGGCACATCTCCTGTTCTCTGTTGTCCACTTCAGCTACTCCACTCTTCAATGGTGGCTTCTTCAGTTGCTCAGTCACAACTTCAGCTGGGGTTTCACTAATATACTCTGTTACCTCATTGAATTCATATATAAGGGTTGCTATGTACTGCCAGATGTTGCTGCATACGCAAATGAATGAATTTTAAAAATGATATATGATAGAAACAATGATATTTCAGAATGGTACTGAATAATGTGTGAAGGAATGTGTAAAAATAAACAGTTACATTGATGCCTAGGTTACATGGATGCCAAGATCAATCATAAGACAAGGCATTATCACGCAAAATGTCACCATCTGCTATTTGCTACTGATGCCAACTGCTGAACACCAACCACTGAATGCCAAACACAGTCCACAAAAATATGGAGACTATAATCATATAATATACTAATATATTGCAGAATTTTGCATGGAAGTGCTTTCACTGTTAATTAAACAAAATAAATGAATAATAAAAATGTTAGATACAATAACAGTGGCTCACTTGTCATGTGGAAGGTCCCCTGCCCCACTCTCTATTATGGTCCCAGCTGTACGCATGTAGACATAGAGTAGAAAGCGCAAGTAGGGCCTCTTTAGGTTGCGGTCTATGTCTGGGTGGTTCAATGTCCATGTAATCTCCTCTATAGACATGACAGTCTGACACATTGACTCTATGTACCTATTCTCTCCCTGTATTGTGAATGGAGATATAAAATAAGATCAAGCATTAGTCATTTCTCTTTTGCCAAGCTTATGTTACAAGGTGACTGGGGTAACACACTGGCTAGATATAAGACCTATCGGTCCTTCAATTATAATAAAATGTTGATTATCCGAACCTGTAGCAAATTATATTAAGGTAAATATTATAGATTGACCTTGAATTCACACCAAGTTTTGTTCAATTCTGATATGATTAAAAAATGTGTTCTGTCTATTGAGTTACACATGTACTGTAAAATAAATAGACTTCTTACCTCAGCACATATAGAGAAAAGGTCTATCAAGTTAGTCAAGTATTCCACATGGTCTGGCATCTGACCTGTTAATATCCTCTCCCTAAAACACATGAAGTAAACATACAGAGAATTTCCATAGCATGAGTTCAGAGAAATAAAGGTTCATGACACAAACCTTAAAAATGAGTGGCTTATAAAAGTGTGACAGACTTGGGTCCTTATATGTAATATTTTCAGGTCTTCTATCTCCCATTCATATTTTAACAGTATTGTACCATTGCCAACCAATCACCATTGTGTATTTAGTTCCAGTTCTTATTCTAACAGTGGCCGGTGGCTTTTAGTCAGTGGCACACTTATATTTTTATTGTACATCCAATCATTTATGTTTAATTTGTTCTGGTCTATAGTTATGGACACCACCGTCAGTCTTTAGGTTTTAAATAATATTTGACAGGATAGCCACGTGTCATTGACCAATGGGCAAGACTGATATTTCTGTTTTTGGGATAATCCCTGCCTTTTGCTTTGTCTCTGGGGAGTATATAAGTGCCCCTTCCCTCAGAAACATCAGTCGTTTTGTGCCCAGTTCTCGCGTTCGGTCTTTCTCAGCCTTAAGGATAGGATCAAGCATTTTGTAATTATATTGGATATTTTATAACCTGGTCATGGAGAACAGTGAAGTTTGGGTGAGTCATTAGGGACATTATCAGCTTATTCCAATTATTCTTTCAAACACTTTTTAATCTATTTCGTTTACTTTAGATTTAAACTTCCAAATTATATCATATCTATTTTCTGGATAAGGCGTTTCCTGATTGAGTATTTTGTTACTGTGTCCATTGATTGTTCATATTGCATTGTCTCATTGTTTGTATTACTTGTATATTCTCACACTGCATCGGACGGTTCTAGTTGATAAATATATAACGACCGATATTGTTTGATTTTAAATGTAAGTTTGTGAACACATCTTTGTATTGAATAGTTTTAGTATGCATTAAAGACTTTGATTTATATAACCTGACTTATTTATTTTGTTGTTTCATTCCATCATATTTGAGTCAAACTCCCTTCATTACTTCCTAAATTCATTTCCCGACAATTAACTTTTTCCGACACACTTTAAATTATCCAATCCCTTACGCCTGCCTACGGCGGGTCGTTACATAAAGAACAAAATGATTCAATTTCTCACATTAACATACCGTTTCACACAAACAACTCCTGCTCCAAAGGTGATATTACCTGAATGCTCTTGGTTGGTCCAGCACATAGGCAACCTTGGTATAATACTGCATAACATATTTCATAGTATAGCCCTGGTTTCTCTTCAGGGTCAGGTCGAGGCCTTCAACCTTGACTATGCCACAGATCAGGTCCAAGAACTCAGGGGCTCTCTCTTTATGCTCTGCCACTTTGCATACCATCCTCTCCACTTGGTTAGCACTGATTTTCATACAGGTTGACTGGTTGCCCTTGAATGCCTAAAACAAGAGAGTACAAACTAAATTGTATTGAATCCCTTTATTCATGTATCCATAAAACATGTAAAAATGGAGCTGCAGTAAAACCTTCTAGTAAGTGGAAAACATTTGGTACCTCTAAAAAGTGTTCCACTTTGGGAGGTGTTCCACTTATAGAGGTTCATTTAATAGGCGTTCCACCTCTTATATATATGTTGATGTTGTTATACCATGGTTGCAATGATTGTACAGTATGTACTATACCTCTTTTAGAGCAATAGCCAGTGCTGACTCTATTCCTTGTAGTCCTAGCAGAGTGTCCAGCCTCTCAAAGATCTGCATCTGAACTGCATCGTTGCCCTTAGCAATGGCCTTGAGTAGCATCAAACATTTCTTCATGATGTCTCGGATACCTCTGTACTGTTCCTATATATCAAAGAATATGATTTTTCTTATACTTAATGATTATTTATCAGGGTTATTTAAACAGTATAAATGACCCTCATTGTTGTGTGTCCTTTACTTGATAAATAAGGTATCAACAAGCACCACCTGCCATTTGTTACAGATACCAAACACCGACAGACATCGATCGCCGAAAACTAGCCAAAAAAAGGGTGGAGACATAGAAACCTTTGTATGACCTCATCAAGTCAAGGATGCTGATAGACAATGTTGCCAAACTTCAATATTTTGGAATATGAATGAAGAACCTATGAACACAAGGGGAATGCTTGTCAAGGTCAAAAACAAGGTCAATGTAATAGCTAAATATGATGTGAAATCTACATTTCAGAGTACATACCAATAGTTTAGAGTCCATCTCCTGGGAGAGTATCTCAAAGACGACTTGTAGTACACCATGGTTGATCAATACATTCTGGTTCATAGGGTGACGTTCCTCAGGGTCTTTGGGCAAATGGCAAAACCTGGAATGTAAAGTCACTTTTTTGTCATAATCATGTTTTGCAAATGTTGCTCATTTCTAAATTCCACCAATACACTACAATGAGACATTTTTTTCCATTTAATTATTTTTCAGAATTCATCAAAAATTACTGAAAAAAAGAATTTCAATTCAGTCATTCCAATGCAGCCAAAATGGTAAAATTACTAAAATGTAAGCGTAGGTACTGTCATGAATAATGAAAAAGCATAATTTCATGAATCATATGTAAATTGTATATAAAACTTGAAATACATAAACACATAAAGCTATATGAATTTCTTATTTTGTACATACTCAATGAGTCTGTCTAGTATCTCTCCTACAATCCTGACCTGCTCGACTGTCAGTTTAGACTTGGTCATACGTCGTAATGTTGGCAGACTTTTCTGAGCCTCGCGATGAACATTGCAAGAGTCTGGAGTGTTTAGCACCTACAGAACAAAATAATCACTGAAATGAACAGTTCATTGAAATAGTACATCTAGAAAAATATAAACATTTTTTCTCAATTTCAGACTATTTATTATCCCTTGGCATGATTTGGCAAAATATACATATCTTTTATTGAATCTCCTACAATCAGGCCCATAGCCAGGATTTGCCAAAAATTTGCTCAGTTTTCAAAAATTTCCAGGGGGGTTCACATTTGACAATTTTGGCCAAAATATGGCTAAAATCACTTGAGAAGTGAAAAACTGCATAATTTTGAAAGAATTTTTGGCCAGGGGGGGTTCGCCCAAACCCTGCGAACAATCCTAACCTCCCGCTGCTGTATACTGTCAGTTCAGACTTGGTCATCGTCGTAATGTTGGTTAATGTTAATTCCAGTCACAAAAAGAAGATGACGACAATACTTTATTGATAATAATCCATTACCTGTGCAGTTGAAGCCACCTCAAATAGGTGCATCTTGGATGAGTAATATTTGTTGAGCAGTGTAAGAGATTTGGTGACCATTTTGTCATATTTGTAGTTTGACAGGTCCTAGAAACAAAAAATACACATTTACATATTTTTGTATTAATCATAATGTTTAATTTTATGCAACTAACTATATATCTCATACTCATCTGCTAATTGTGACTTGGACAAGGCACAAATGTCGAAAACTAGGGTAGTATGACAAAACAACGATTAAATCTTAACATAGGATCACATGACAATTGATACTTGAATTTGTTGCCATGAGTATTGCAGTAACATTTATTTAATTACAGTGAGTATTGCAGTAACATTTATTTAATTACTATGAGTATTGCAGTAACATTTATTTAATTACTATGAGTATTGCAGTAACATTGAATTAATTACCATGAGTAATGCAGTAACAAAGAATTAATTACCATAAGTATTGCAGTAACATTGAATTAATTACCATGAGTATTGCAGTAACATTGAATTAATTACCATGGGTACTGCAGTAACATTGAATTAATTACCATGGGGATTGCAGTAACATCGAATTACTTACCATGAGTATTGCAGTAACATTGAATAAATTACCATGAGTATTGCAGTAATATTGAATAAATAACCATGAGTATTGCAGTAATATTGAATAAATTACCATGAGTATTGCAGTAACATTAAATAAATTACCATGAGTATTGCAGTAACATTGAATTAATTACCATGGGTATTGCAGTTACATTGAATTAATTACTGTACCATGAGTATTGCAGTAACATAACATTGAATTAATTACCATGAGTATTGCAGTAACATTGAATTAATTACCATGAGTAGTGCAGTAACATTGAATAAATTACCATGAGTATTGCAGTAACATTGAAATAATTACCATGAGTATTGCAGTAACATTGAATTAATTACCATGAGTATTGCAGTAACATTGAAATAATTGCCATGAGTATTGCAGTAAAATTGAATAAATTACCATGAGTATTGCAGTAACATTGAAATAATTACCATGAGTATTGAAGTAACATTGAATTAATTACCATGAGTATTGCAGTAACATAACATTGAATTAATTACCATGAGTATTGCAGTAACATTGAATCAATTATTATGAGTATTGCAGTAACATTGAATTAATTACCATGAGTATTGCAGTAACATAACATTGAATTAATTACCATGAGTATTGCAGTAACATTGAATTAATTATTATGAGTATTGCAGTAACATTGAATTAATTACCATGAGTATTGCAGTAACATGTTCTGTTTCAAAGAATGCAGCACCATCAAACATTTCCCTCAGTTCCTTTAGCTGCTTCTTTTGTTTCTTTAAAGCCTTGCTGTAATAAAACATTAACTAGACAACAGCAACGCCAAAGCGTAGCAAATCCCATCGAACAGCCATGGCTGGCATTTTTACAAAGTATATAACACAGATGGACGGACAGATGGGCAGACGGAGGCGTTCCCTATATCCCTCCAAACTTCGTTCGATGGGATAATTACTAGGCTCCACAAATGCACAATAACAGATCTTAAAGTGGAAATACTAAATTCATAAAATGGTAGCCTTTAATAAATAAAAAACTGACCCTAAGAATAAAACCCATTCTGAATCCCTCCCAGTAAATAACTTACATATATTACCTTTTATCCTACACTTAGTGTACGATATGTATAATAACATCAAAAAATAAATTTAATATCTATTGGCAAAATGAATAACCGGATGATATCGCTACGATATACTCCGGAAAACCAATATGCGGAGGATATCGTGATGAAATACTCCGGGAAACAAATATGCGGAGGATATCGTGACGATATACTCCGCTTGTTGATTTCCCACCAAATTGAACTATTTGACATAAAAATTTATTTTTCAATGATATTAAACATTTAGTACACTACTAGTAAGTGTAGGATAATAAGAACATCCTATGACTTTTTCAGACTATCATTTTAATCTACTCGGTGATATTGATATATGCACTCGTTCGCTTCGGTCTCTTGTACAGATATCAATATCACCTCGTAAATAAAAATGATATTCCTCAAAATCATAGGATATCTTATAAATATGCATTATAACACTATACTACTGTATATAATAATATCATATCATATCATATTATATTACATCATATTAAATTATATTATATTTACATACTACATCATATTAAATTATATTATATTTATATCATATCATATTATATTAAATTACATTATCAGGCCTCCTAGACTTCGACTCACGCAGTTCCAACCTTGCTGACCTCATTCCTTCCACCCTAACCACGTTCTCAAAATGTGAATATCAGTTCTTTAGTATCGAACCACTAGTTCCTCTCTCACGAACTTATTTCTCCAATCACACATCTAGTTTTCTCATCGCTTTGTGGTTCGGGACTAAAGAAACTATATTTGAGTCGTGAGAACATCGAAGTCTTAGAGGCCTTATTACATTTCATTGATTACATTACATTACCCATCTGACTCTACTGTCTTACCTTGCAGTATCTGTAGCATCATACACATCATAGAGTAATGGACAGAGAACACTCCTTCGCTTCTTCTTCTCACCTGCTGTCGTCTCTGCATGTTTAAACTTCCCAATGAACTTCTGAAATAAAATACAGAGACACTTGATATAAAATAAAAACTCAATTTGATTCTAACTTTTTTATTCTTAGTATTGGCTAAAAGTGTTTGGAAAGTCATAAAGTCATATTAACAGGCATGAATGTCTATATTCTCTGTATATCTTTAAAGTATAACACAACTACGGTAAGTGGAACGTTTCCATCTGTATTCATTTAAAAAACTTACACACACAGAGCTACTGGGAGCACCAGTTTGTGGACTGATAAAACAAGCCAGAAATATATGTACATAAAAAGCTTTAAAATCAAATCAAATTGTAGTAAAATAGGACATTTAAAGAATAATTTACCTCCAAGCGTGTATTGAACTGTAGACTGAGCAGCAAGTCCAGAACCTCCATGGCTCTGTAACAAATTAATTGGTACAGGAATTATCTGAATCTATATGTAATCTTAAAGGCTTTTAATGTACCTTATCAGGCAACTAGCTATTGAGTATTCAAAAACTCCATTAATGAATTGAGCATATTGAAGTGTAATGCCGTGATAATAGTTTGTATGCATCTTTTTTGCTCAATTTTGATCAGGTTTTCCCCTTTACCTGTAAATTTTAAAACAAAATATATTTTTATTTAAAATCTTCCTTAAATATTTTACACAAAAGAAGCTGCAATCTTACTGGTATTTGGCATCAACGACAGCTTTAGTCTCGGGACTTTTTTCAAATCGTTCTTTATTTCTGTACATGGTGACCATCTTCTGTGACTCCTTGGAGAATCCTTTCTCAGTCTCCTGAGGGAATGGTTTATCATTCTTGCCACAGAGAAGGTTGATCACTGCCTTCAGAACAATGCGGATCTCATCTTGAGCATAGTAGCCAAACTTCAGGAGAAAGTGGAATAGTCGCAGGACCTACATTAATGATAAACAGCATATTGAGAATATATATTGTTAATGTTTTAAATGAGTTCTCTCTGTACATACAGGTGGGTTAAAGCCAGAACAAAACAGCCTGTGACCCAAATCATAGAAGCTAAAACTTCAAGAGAAAGTGGAACAGTCGTAGGACCTACAAAAACCTAAATTACTGTTCTGGAAAGTGAGACCTAGACAAAACAAAAGCCATGAATACAGTAAAACCTGTCTTAGTGAACACCTCTCTTTAGTAACACCTGTCTCTAGTGGACACCCTTCCTCCACCAGAGACATATAAAACATTTTCTGCCTCCTCATATATTCTACTGACTTCTGTATAAATTACCCTCTCTGTAGTGAACACCTACCAACACTAGATGCTTTTTCTCGGCAAGAAATGTTCATACACATATTTTGCTGAAATTAGCTTTTCAGATAATTAACTCTGAGAGATAATGCATGCCTACTTTAGCTATATTTGAACTTCTATTAACTTTACATATTACTAAAAGTGCAATATACTGCATACCACACTGGCGGATTAGAGGGGGGGACCCAGAGGCTAAAACATTTTTAGGGCCCCGATCAGTGGGCCTTTTTGGCCACTATTAGACTTTTTGGACCTTATCTTTTAATTTCAGGCCGAATTTTCAAGATAATAGGCCTCAAATAGTTCCCAGATCCAACCCTGTAGCATAGGAGAGTGGGAGATCACATCTTTACCTGTTGTATCAGCATGTTTGTTCCAATCTTGCTTGCAGTCATTTCTTTGTTCTCATTGAGAAAGTCTGCAATCCAGTCTCTCAGCACTGGAAACAATGTCACCAGGTCCTTGATAGCCTGTAATGTAATATTACATTTGTTACTAAAGTAAATCAAAGAATGTGAATACCACCAATTAACACATATCACTTATATGTGAACAATTTCTGTAAGACAATTTTTTTTCTTTAAAAACAAAATATAAAAAATATAGTAAACACAATCTCCTCATTACCATATGTCAGTTGAACATTTAACACTTACAAAATCCATTTCCCCGTTGTTCTGCCCAAATATGTTAATATCCTCATAGACAAATGACAAGTTGGTGTGATCTAGCACTGAATAGTTCGTCCCAACATCAATGAACATTGCGATTATCATCTCACAGTATTTAGCTCTTATCCAATCAGGGAGCAGATTTGAGCGCAAACAGAGGAATGCCTCGTCCCAGGTCAGGTCACCAGTTTCACGGGTAATCACATGAATTGCAAATGCACATCTGCCCTACAATGTGAAATAGTACATATATAAGGGTTATGTACTGGGAGGTTTTGGATACAGGGTTTATCCCAAGGGAAATATGTGTATCTCACGAGGGACCGCAGGGACCGAGGGAGATACACATACTTGAGTGGGTTTGGGGTAGATATAACCGTTACCACCTTTTTCAAATGACAAGATAGGCCTATTCTGTAAAAGCACAATTTATATTTAACATTTTCATAATATTCCTTCAGTTCAATACATAGAAATTGTAACATTTAAACTTTTTGAAAAATTTTGAACTTCTAAAATTTAAAGGAGCACGTAGGTTATCGCAAACAATTTCAAACGATTCTAACTTGAATTATGAATATTTTTTGATCATGAATATGGGTGTATCTTTTAGATCCATTCATTATCTTCAAGAAAAGTATGTATAATGATAATTTAGTTAATCAGACCTAAGTGATATTGAAGGGGCAATGGACCAATCAACATACTTTTACAAAAATGTTGACCTAATTTTCACCAAAAATGCAACCTATTATTATATTGTTGAATGCATAATTAGAATGTGCTTTGAGACGTGTTCGATTTCCTAAAAGGAAAATTTGATTGCTCCATGGACTTTAAAGATATTCAATTTGGATGACCAAAATGAACTGAAACCAATGGATAGCATGAGATTTTTCAATGGAGAAATAACATGGGGAACACTTATCTTAATGCAATTAAGTTTTTCTGTCAAGAACTATTTGATACATCAAAATAAAGAATAGTAATGCATTAAACATTGTAAAAAATGATTGCATTTTTGGTGAAAATGGGGTCAACATCTTCAAATGGGGTCAAAAAGTGTGTTGATGGGTTAATTGCTAGTTAAATATCTCCGAGTTTGTTTGAATTTATTATTACTGTGCATAATTTTCTTTGAGATAATGAATTGATCTAAAAGATAAACTTGTCTTCATTGTCAGAAAATAGTCATAATCCAAGATATAACCTTCTGAAATTGTTTGCGATAACCCACGTGCTCCTTTTTAAAATTTTTAAACTTTTGAAAAAATTCCCAGGAGCGGGATGGATATATTATATCTGCCCGCATTTGGCCTAGAGCGGGACATATACAATATATCCTGCCTGCTCCTCAGATATGATATATATTCCCGGGTGATATCTACCCCAAACTCACTCAAGTATAAAATACATAATAGTTTTTATGAAGTGATTGTCTCAGATGTGGATGATGGTAATTAACATTAGTTCTTCATGTAATGAATGCATTTTTGTGTAATCCACACATGAATACTTTGGAGAATCTGGATATCATGGACATAAAGAACTGAAATCTTTGGTGATACAAAACAAAATCTCAACACCTTCCATTGATTTGATTTAGTGGATTATATTCTAAGATATGAAACTTACGTAGCACAAGTTGATAAACAGATCCATCTGGTGTTGGTAGAACAAACTTTTCTCCTCATCATATGTGTAGTATTCTTTCTGGAATATCAAACAGAGAGAGCTACAGGTACCAAATTCTTTATTTGTAAAAACATAAAAGGAAAGAGAGATATTTAAGTTTATAGAGATCCTACACAATGGAAATGAATTCATCATGACCAAAATGTCTCAAGAATTTGAAGATAATAGTATATGTATGTTTAAAAGTATTATACCCAGTTCTAGTTTTATAGTTCCAAATTATACTAGTATATTTATGTCATATTTTGATGAAACAGGGGCTTTATCTTCATTATCAAGCCCATTGTACCTACATTGTACATGTACAGTATCTATGCATATCAAATCTCAAAGAGCATGAATACTACACTTAATCTGAACAACAAATACAAAATAATTATTATATAAATCGAAAATATGCTATAAATAATGGTCAGTTGTTATTATGTTTAGACAATTCAAAAAAGTCAGTTACACATTTATGTCAGTTACACATTCAGCTGTCCATGTACAATAGAAACTTCAAAAATGAAATAACTTAGTATATCATACATAGAAAACCACAGATTCACAAAAATCCCCTTGTATTACTAAACACACCCTCACTATATATACAGATACACAAGTATGACCTTCAAAGATCTTCCATTCATCAAATTGAATTGTTCTGTTAATTGTTAAAGTTCAAGAAAACCACACAGCTGAAGTTAACAAGATTTATAAGGCAGAGCCAAAACACAACAAGGACTTACAGTATCTAAACATTAATTCAAATGGAGGTTTGAAAACAATAAATTAATAAGGTATCTGAGAAAAGAAATCCATCAAAATCTTATTGAGAAAGTCAGTTCTAAATCAGCAAGTCCTATTAAGAAGGAAATTAAAGTCCTTTTGAATCCGGAAGTCCTATTGAGTAAATAGGCCATGTTGAGTTGGAAAGACCTACTGAATTAAGGAATTTCCTATTGTATGAGTAGCAAACATCCTGCTTGATGCATAAAGATGTAACATTGGATTACCACATACACTCTGTCTGCTTGTTTGGATGTCTACATCTACAGGGATAGGGTTGTCATACCCACCTCCTTCCCCTGCTGCCTCCGTATCTTCCCACTCTTCATCCCCAAGTGAGGAGTGGGGTTTCTATATCACATATAGTACAACACATGCATAAATGAAGTGAAAGATAAAAGTGATTTTAGAAATAGCATTAGGGTACATTTATACAGAATTCCTCCCCTGCTTCCTCCGTATCTTCCCCATCTTCATCTCCAAGTAAGGAGTGGGGTTTCTATATTACATATAGTACAACACATGCATAAATGAGGTGAAAGATAAACACAGGGTGGGACAATAAAATTTGTGACACTCATATATATTATACATGTATTTCACATTTGGCCAACCTATAGAAGTGGGTGTAGAATATAGAGACATAAGTACAATAGAATTAGAAAGTACAGAATTCTTTCCCTTGCTGCCTTGGTATCTTCCCTTTCCTCACCACCTTTATTACAACACTTGCACACAGGTGGCATATAATACATATGTAGATATTGCTGTATTGATTTCTATCATTGTTCCTTTTCCCAAAGATTACCAAGAATCATCTTTTTATGAAGACGTGTTATTAAAATTTTAGAAACATGAGATTCTCGTCTAAGAAGTCAAAAGTCATCAGAATACACAACTGGAAGAAAAACACAATGAAGTTAAGAAATCGCCAGATTTTAAACCATCCCATAATGAGTCAGAAAATTAACAGAGAAACTGTAAGAGATCCAAGTTGAATGAATAGCAATTTATAGTAAAAGTTTGTTTAGATGATAGAAGAATTGTAGATCACATAACCCAAGACACAGATCACCAAGCCACACTAGTGCCTCTGGTACCCACCATCCAATTCACTTTATGTCCATATTCATCTTCAACTTCAACCAAAGTGTGGCCAGTCTGAGTAAATGGATAATACATAAAATAAATCAAATCTAAAATCTAATTATGAATGAGATGTCATGGTTTATTATGATTTATGTGAATCAAAATGTTGAATACTATACATACATTTGTTTGAAATTGGAAATGTTCAATATTTGAACAATCTGTGTTTATAAACAAAACATGTAAAATGAATGCCATAGTGGTTTTGATGCACAATAAAAAAAATAGTTGCATTGTTTCACATCTACATGTCAGCACGGGATGTCAGATATAAAAAATAAAAATGCTTTAGAACATCTAAAAATGAATGACACTACATGTATGAGTCGAAAGCAGCATACAAAAGACTTAAATAGCATCCATGAAGGTGTAAAATAAAATATACAATGTTACAACATCGAACTGTGACATATGGTATGTAAGAATTTTTGTGAATTTTTTAATTACTTACGTCAACAAATTCATGAAGAGCTGTCCAGTTTTTGCCATCATCAGATGATACATATATGATGTTTGGTTGTCCATTGATATTCTGCCCCCTGTCTGTCAGATATATGCCTTTCTGTAAGCAATGCAATGATAAGGATCTTTAAGATTGTCTGTCTGATATATGCCTTTCTGTAAGCAATGCAATGATAAGGATCTTTAAGATTGTCTGTCAGATATATGCCTTTCTGTAAGCAATGCAATGATAAAGATCTTTAAGATTGTTTGTCAGATATATGCCTTTCTGTAAGCAATGCAATGATAAGGATCTTTAAGATTGTCTGTCAGATATATGCCTTTCTGTAAGCAATGCAATGATAAGGATCTTTAAGGTTGACTGTGTACAATCAAGCAAAAATATTCCATTCATTTATTTTCAATACTGGACCATGATTCTCAAAAAAAGAAGTCTCATTTTTTAAATGCTTAATGTTTAAAAAAGGCCACATAATTTGTCCCATGCTTTTGCAGGGAATAAGGATTTTCAATACAACATTTCTGGTATCATTTCAATCTAAAGGTCCACCCTAGGACTTACCCTATTCTTGCGTATAAGCTGGTCTGTGATATATGTTTGATTGTCAGGTATAGCAACACCATCACACACACATAGAACCATCAAAAGGTCCAGGTAGCGGTAGTTCTGAAATGATTTATAACACAATCAGCATAAAACAAATATTTTTTATCACAACATTGTTAAAGACAAAAAATGAAAATAATGTATATTATCACATAGAAGACTCTAAGTTGTGTGGAAGTGTCAGAAAACAAGTATTCTGGGGGTGATGACTAAGAAAATGTCTTGAGACATCGCCTGTTGTGTAAGTGATCTAGTCGCCTAAGTTTCCCTAAACTATTGTATAATATGTGACAAGAGTAGTATAAGTCAGTGTTAGCTAAGATGAGATATTGTTTGTATCTTAGCCTAAAGTCATATTTATGTGCCACTTTGGGGAAGTTTATATTGAATAGTAAGTGATCAAAGATAAATTGCTTTTCTTTTTTGTGCTTGAAAATAAATTCAATTACGAGCCTAGTACATGCTAGTAAGGGCCTAGAATTTAAAATTTTGAGCCTCGTACATGCTCGTAAAGGCCTCACAATTATAATAACAGGCCTCATGCTTGCTTGTACATCCTCAAAAATGAGCCATACACGAGCCTGTGAGAAGTGTGCCCTTTTTTGCCCGTAATTTTCAAGCCTCTTTTAAGCTTGTATGGGGCTCAATATAATTTGCTAACCCCAAATTTTGGAATTCTGTGTGATAAGTGTAATGTTGAGCAGAGAGACATTTTTGGAATAGCATGTGTTGATAACATACCTTGTTTTCACTAAGCAGTGTAATGAACTCATCTATTTGTTGCCTAGTGATACGATCAACGATCTTCCTGTTGTCACGGATCAGCTCCACAATCATCTGAGCAACATTTAGGCCTAGTTCTCCCTATAATACATGGAAAAAAGGGGTTTTGAACTAACTATCTATATAATCATATAAGTGCTTTCTTTAGATGCCATTTTAATTGGTATATAACAATTCATACTATAGTTAAACCTGTTTTACTTGAATGTTGTAGGTACATGTACATCAAGAGATTTTGCAACACTTACAGCTTAGGTGTTCTACTTTACAGGTTTTACTGTATTGTAACTTGGAAACAATTAAGAAATAAAATGAATTGCCTTAAAACCCCATAAAGCAATTAAAGTGGAACCAACCTTTTGACTAATCTGTGTTTGGAAAAAGTCAATGTACTTTGCAAAATAGAGGGCGTTCTTTCTGCTTCGACCAATCATGTAAGAGTACAGTACGTCATAGCCTTCTTTGAATACCCGGGTCAGGTGACCTTGATCATGAGCTGTACGGAGGTCTGTCTTCAGAAGCTTCACCAACAGATCAATGATCTACAAAATAAAATATCAAATTGTTTTTTAAATTTGAAAAATAGAAAGAAATCTTATTGTAAAGAACTGATATGTTAGACTGTTGGTTAATCCGCCCTTGTTGGAATTGAACCCATAACTTTCTGACTAAATGTTAGATGTTTACAACTTGAGCTGAATGGTGAGGTTGAGTAAGTCTTCCACTTCAACATTGCAAAATATACTGTTGTATATGGTGCATTATAGCTGTAACTTGCATGCATATGCCAAGTTCCCATTTTAGTTTCAAAGAAATTTCGGAATATGGTCATTTTTATAATTTGTAAATTTTTTTTATATATGATCTATTTCCATGTATAACTAACATATAACATACAAATGTCTGTGGCTTTTTAGAACTTATACATGTCATGGATATAAGGTACAAGATTGCTTACTCTTAGGTTTCGCATAAGTTTCTGTCTCTCTTTCTTTGCTTCTCCCCCTACGATCATAAAGTCTTTGAGTTCCTTTAGAGCTGTGCAGATACTGTGCGTCTTACTGGCGTTCAATGTCTTTCCATCTTCTCTCTGGAAAAATATAGCAGGAGACATTCAATTTGTACCAAAGATTTCATTTTGTGAATGCATGTAATTACACATGTGAACGAGTCTGATACATAATTATTATACATGTAGTGAAGGAATTGATCGCTAAAAATATACAGTATACAGTAAAACCTGAATATTGGAGCACCTGTATAAAATCCGAACACCTCTCAAATGTGATTGCTTTTCCTCAGTCACAGGTTTTACAGGTGTATTTTATTTACCACCTGCCACTTGTTACAGAGGCCAAACTCCAAACACCAAATGTCACCCATGGAACACCATCCACAAAAATGTTGGAGACTATAAAAAACAATGAAAACTATTCTTCTGCAAATTGGATCAATGGCCTACCTCTTGTATGAAGTTTAACAGGAAGGGAACTGAGCCTGCCACAAAGTTGAAGTTCCTCAAGTGTTGGGGTTCAACTATTTGCAGGGTGTAGGCATCATCATACATCTTCTCCCCACTGGCAGATATCTGTAGAAGCAAAACAGCATGATTATGAACATTCCACTAATTGCATTAACATACAAGGCATTAACATGACAAAATGTCACCACCTAGTTGCTCTCAATATTATTAGTTCAATCAGTCAGATTTGAATTTCTGAAAACTCTGTAGATGATTTTGAAGAAAGTTGAAAAAAGACCTTTTTGACACTGAGAAGGTCATTGAAGGTGAAATTTCAAATCTAAAGTCAGATTTGAACTTCTGAGAATTTGTAGATGATTTTGAAAAAAAATTGGTCAGTTTGAAGCAAGATGAAAAAGACCTTTTTGACCTTGAGAGGGTCATTAAAGGTCAAATCTTTTTGACCTTGAGAATGTCATTTAAGGTCAAATCTATAGTCAGATTTGAACTTTTGAGAACTTGTAGATGATTTTAAAAAAAATTGGTCAATTTGAAGCAAGTTGAAAAAAGACCTTTTTGACCTTTTTTTGACCTTGAAAAGGTCATTGATGGTCAAATCTTATATATAAAGTCAGATTTGAACTGCCAACCACCAACCGCCGACAGCCGTCAAAAAAACAGAGACCATAACAATATGTCACCACTTTTTGTGGTGACATAAAAATGAAATATGCTTCAGTATTCAACCAGTACACCATTTAAGCATTATGAATTTATGTTCCATGAAGGAAGCTATTAAGATCGTCACATTCCAGGGGAAATATCTACCAAGGTCAGATGCAGAGTCCAAGGTCAACAACAGAAGTGTAATGCTTCTTTGAAATATCGACATCATCTTACTACAGATGTATTCTGATCTAAAAATGATTCCTTTTTATTGGATGTTGCATAATATCCAAAATGTCTCATGTTTCCAGATACATCTACTTTACATCCTATCCAAAATATTCCTGATTTCCAAACAATTCTTTTATTCCTAGATGCTGCATTAACTTTTCCAAATGTCGTTTATATTTGGCATTGTACAGTACTTCTAATCCAAACTACAAGTAGCACATTTGATATGTGAACCATGCTGATATGTAATCCTAAATATCTCTGCATATGTACATATCAAATATAATATTCAATTTCTGCTTCTCCATATCGTTATGAGGTCCCTACATGAACATGATATTGTAATTATGATCCATGTTTCTAAATTCTAAAAGCCTTTATTTTGGACATTGTACCTGTTATTCTGATCCAAATTATTTCTAAATTGCTGGAGATCATATATTTCATTCCCAATGTCTCTCAGCATTGATATATCATAATCACTTGTTTCCTCAACACAGGGGGCATCTAGAATTTATACATTCCTAGGTACTGCTAAAATAATCCTTTGAATAGTCGTGATAGCTGTAAATGAGTTGTTGATTTGCTGAAGGGTTTAAACAATAGCATTAATTTGAAATTATCCAGCAATCATCTCTAACAGACCTCTAAAAAGTTCATTTTTATTGGAACAAAAGATAACAATCAAAGAAATGGTTTTCTTATTAAAAGATGCACATAGTTTAAAGATAGAATACATAATCTTTTATCTCTCTTTGAATTCAAGATTGTATCAACTTGACTATTGATTATAGAAATTACTGATCTAAACTACTGAAATTGTTTTTCAGCCTACTGTTGTATTATACCTGTCTGAGGTCTGCCCCATCCCACTTCAGACCTTTCATATCATTCTCTCCATCTGCCTCAAGTAAACTACGTCTTTCATATTGTTGGTCTGAAATATCATTTCCAAGATCCCCTTTTTATCATATTAAATAATTCAAAATGCTTCATTATATTAGTGAGTTTATTTATACATATAACAATTAGTGTTGTCGCGATGTGCCATAATCGTACATCGATGCATCGGCAATTTTCAGGAGTAAACATCGATGCACATCGCGATGTACATCGAGAAAAAGTCCGAGAAAAGTGCACTGAAATACCGAACGCTAATGCACTAAAATACCGAACAGAACAAATTAATAAGAGTACGCTGGTACATACGGGAACTTCTAGTAACGGTGAAATGAAAGTAAAAAGTAATTTTTTTAGATTAATGGTACATTTCGACTAGCTAAAGCAGTTTTAAAGCGAAAGAATATCAGAAAACATTGGAAAATGAAATAAGTCATGAGAAAGGTAAGCGATTTGCGTCAAAATAAGATAAGAAAGGGTGATTTTTAGCAAATTCAATTTTTTTTAAAAACATCGATGTTTTGTTTCAGACATCGATGCATCGCCAGAATCAGCTTTGGCGATGTATATCGCGATGTATCGATTAATCGCGACAACACTAATAACAATACATGTAAGTTTTTGCAAAAGTGCTCCTCTTTTAAAATATCATTTATTGAAACCATGCAAAAACTAATTTGTGTTCATCTGTCTGTTGACTTATGGTAGGCATCAATACAAAATGCACTGATAATGGGACAAAGAACTACAAGAACAAATTAAGTAAGAACCTACCTTTCAATGCATGCAGCCAATGTCCACTAAGGACATGCTCTATACGGGTGTAGTTCTCAAAATGAATAGCATCCGATTCCTAAAATACATTATTTCTTATAATCCTTTGTAGTTTGTAATATAATTGATCAATATGCAATAACTAAAAATAAACCTCGTTCTGATATGCCTTTAAATACTGTACCATTATGAAGACATGTGAGTTTCATAAAACCAAGAATTCAAAGATACTTTTGAGGATTCTAAGTTCTACTGCAGTTTAAAAAATCTATTCAAATCCATAAATATGTTTCAAAACAATATTGTACCTTCATGATAGGGTGCAGCCTGAACACTGTATTTGGGTCCCTTGAGTCTGGTGTAAGGGAGACCCGTAGATCTGGTGTAATACACAAATACTGCCTGGTTGGCATATGACGGAATCTCACTTGCTGTTCCCATTTTACAACCTCACCTAGAAACACATCATTTTTTATAAATTATGTATAAATACATGTATTATATACTCACTCTATATGGGAGATTATCCGTACTAAAAGAAGCGTTTTCAGTGGGTTATTGTACAGAAAATGTTTGTAAAAATTCTTCAGTATAAATTTCAGTACAAATATGTACTAAAAAATATACTGATTTTTAAAGACATTTTAAGTACAAAAAAATGCTGAAAAAATTAAACTAAAATAATGTACTGAAAAATTCACCTTATATTGGACTTCCCTTGCTCTGGGCCAATTTGGCATTTTGAGAAGATTATGATACCTGGTGGACCTGGGTACACCTGTTCGTTTTAATAAGTTGATTAGACAATATAACACTAATAAATTGATTAAGACAGGATGTGTATGTTTGTTTGTAGAGAACAAAACAAATGTCTGCAGTCATCTAGGTTAATTGGTTTACTTGATAAAGATTATAATGGTGCAATGAAACATTACACTTTTATGTTAAAATTGTCATTATTTTTGTAAATTCTTTGGTTTTATTATGATTAAATCTGAAGAAATGAACTATTCAGCATATTTGTACTTCCTCACCTTTTGAGTGTATATAATAATAAATCCATAATTACTTGATTCCTTGCACAAACAAAATGAAACTATGATGTGATCACAATCGCAAATCTTTTGATTCACTTGTCTCAGGGACATTTTGATTATGATTGTTCAAAGTCATTTATTCCTTGATCAAAGTATATTCTTATATGATTACAAAGTTAAATTGTCTCCAGGAGGTCTCCACTACAACTGGATTTCACACCTATTTCATATGAAAACAAATACTTCCTGATGTTTCTTTGAAACCAACAATGTCTCAATTTTAAAGTTCCCTTATTAAGATGTCAGTAATTACACACACCTTGATTGCAAATTTGAGAGAGAAAAGAGCCCCCCCCCCATCAATTGCTTGCTATGCCAGTGTATCAAGTAAATGTTTCAAAACAAATGAATACTTGAAGAGAACAAGAATTGTGTATAAACTTTGATGAATGTAGATGGTTATTAAATAAATATGTTTCATATTTAGGCTATTGCAATTTATATACAAATATATATTACAAATCATATACATTTGCATACATGTATATGCTCCAATAGAAATGAATCTTTGATTCTGAAAAAGTTTACAAACATATTCTGATCTCCCAATCTTAATTTTGTACTTAAAAGTCTGTATATTCTTCTGTACATTTTTCATACTTAAAAATGTCCTTAAAAAGAACATATATTTGTTAGAAAATTTTGTACTGACATTTTTCAGTGCATAAATATACTGAATTTTGAACTTAAGTATAAGTTAAGTATAAGTATATCAAGTTAAGTTAAGTATATTAAGTTCAAAAATGTGCTGAAAACACTTCTTTCAGCAATTACCCAACAGAATATTTTTTCAAACCTCTGCTCCAGGCCATCCAAAGATCTGATTATGGTATTATCTGATTATAGTTTTCTTTTGGTCTAAAATCTACAGTACTTTTTACTTTTCCAGGCCTTGAGTCTATATGTTTTCTTTTGATTATAAAGGTGGTTAAATGTAGCATTAAACGTACCATTCAGTATGCTTTGTTCTGCCTCTATCTGCCAGTATGTAATACCAGAGGTTGATGGGTACAGGGTCTTTGGAACTAGCTGGTCAACCTCTCTGATGCGCAGGTGAACTGGAAAACATGAACATTGATGGAGATGAATGTGATTTCAGAAATGTCAGCAATTCTATCCTGATCAGCATTAAAGGTCTCAGTTGCATTCCCTTTCTACATGTAGTTGCAGACCCATAGACAATTCAAAGTAAGTCTGTTTTACACTGTCAGTGTGATTTATATTAAATGGATTCAGTGAAGAATTCATTCAAATGTGACTGCTTTAAAGACATGATTTATCCTTAAAGTGACAAAATCCCAATGAAGCCAATGCAGTGGAACATTATACTCCACTGATGTCCTCAAATATTTAAAATCTAAATTATATGTAATATTCCACAAATCTTACCATCTTCTGTGATTTCATCATCAAAGAGTCCCTCTGCTACCAGGTAGGCTTCTAGCTCCTTATGGAACAATCTCAGTACAGAACCAGCCTGAAAGTGAACAGCATACAGATCATAACACTCTATTGTACTCAGGGCTTGAGCCATGGGCCAGTCCAGTGGTCATTGCCAGGTTACTTTTGAAATGGACCAGTTGATTTTTTCACTTGGTATGAAAAAAACAAACCTTAAAGCTCAATCCCTGATTGTACTCTTACACTGGATACACTATAACTGTTAAACTGAATATACACTCATGGGCTATCATAATGGTGAATCTTAATATAAGATCAGATCATTGGACATTTTTGAAGTTTGGAACTTCTTATATTAATCTTATGACCATAAATGAACTACGTATCATAAAATGGGTTCCAAATTGTGCATACTTTCACATATCTGACTCTGTAACATATTTTTCACTCACTTTCGATGGTCTTGATTAGTTAATGAGGGTTCAAAACATATGTTTATTTTGCAAAGGCATGTCCCAATTTGATAGAAGTAAGCAGAATAATGGCATAAAACAATAGAACAATGAGGTATCAGAAATATTTATGGAGATGTGTAGATTCCAATTTTCAGGAATGAGCCATTGAGGAGTAGGGAAAGATTAAAAGATGAGAATGAATTCTGGATTGCAGATTATAACCTTTATTTAATAAGATCAAATTTTCACTTTCCGGACAAAACCAGTTGTCTAATTTTAACTCCACAGAATTTACAAGAAAGTTCTAATGCTAAAATGGAGTGTCATTCCTGCAAAAATATGACACAATAAATATATGCAAGTAGGTACCATCCATCATAAATTCACAAGGCACCCTTAATAATGTGGTTCAATTATATATAATATTGAATAATATCAAGGAAAATCTAAATTGTTCTGCAGGTGATCTACAAACTGTAGCAAAATGAAAATGATAGGGGTACGAAATATGTACAATATCACAGTCTACGCCACAGACTCTCAGAAATGACCTAATAAGTAAAATGGAGTGATATCTCCAAATAGGCATTTCTAAGAACTGCAACATCTATTAAAATGTGACGAAAATATGCATGACAAAAGTTGGGTATTGGGGTATATAAAATTGTACAGTATGCATGGGAGCAGGCATATAAGCTATATGTTATACATGTATTGGAATATGTACATGTATAATGTAATAATAGTATATGGGGTTGATATAGTAAAAAAGAAAATTATGGTGATCATCACAAATTATTTGTTACCAACAAGCAATAAATATCAAGTGAATATATTATGACTTTTTCATAATGTAAGCTCATAAATATGGCTCATAAATCAGAAGATAAGCCATATTCATTAAAGCAATTTGAAAGCATTGCGCATAAAGGGAATCATATGTATGAAGCATACCCCAGTTTATGGGGCAATTGTATGTAGGTCAGCCATTTTATCACAAGATCGCAAGCGCAGTTGGGAGCATTTTTAATACATGTATAGACTAAAATTAGGCCTGCATCTATGCATGTACATTTTAAAACTTTAAAACTAAATTTTTTAAGTTTGAAACTTAACATGTGATAGAAACATCAATCTAGGATAGAAATCATCGCAACGGGACCATTTTATCAAAACAACCCTTTCCATCAATTTACTATTATCAGAGTGTATAAAATATATTCATCAATCATGGAATGTGACTCCTTAAAATGTGAACACATTTAACCTTGAAACTTCACTGATGAGTTTGATTTTAATATTTTCTTCATAAAGCTCAATGATCATACGTTTTAAAATGCACGCATAAGGCCTGTAATACACTGTATAACATTGGAATGCGGTGGCTGACAAATATTCTTGGGACTTTTACTCCTACTGCAAGTGCAACATTGGTGTATCAGAGATAGGTGAAACATTGCTAGGACTTATATCTAGAAATTGAAAAAAGGATAATTTATTGAGAAGCCCTTTAAAACAGTTAACACATAGATTTTGTTATCAGAATTATCAGATTTGGTTATGCACAGTAAAGTTTGTCTCAGTGAACACCTCCCTCTAATAAACACCTGTCCATTTCTTAGATTCTATTCCAGTCTTTACAATCTACATAAAATAAAAAGTCCCCTCTGTTAGTGAACACCTTCCAACATTGAACATATTTCAAAGATATCCACTATACAAAGGTTTGTATGCTTTGTACCATTTTGAAAGATCAATGATTTGATGCTGAAATTTTTCATTTTAGGCACATTTCAAACTTTGTGTGTAAACTGTTTCAATAATCAGTCAAATGCACAGCCCTCAGAGATTTAAGTGAATGAAAGATTGTATTCCTTGGGGCTGTGTGCTAGACTGTGGTTAATAAAGGCATCTTTAATTCTTACTCTGACGGCAGACTCAAACAATCCTGGATCAAAGAGTTGCTAGAATGGAATATACATACAAAAACACTTCATTTTCAGTATAGAGTACACTTATACAACATTTACAATAAGCTAGATAATATATACATGTACATTCAAAATAAACATACAAAACAACTTGATTTACAGTTGAGTTGGCTGTATCATTACAGGGGGCTGTAGCCACATAATTATCTGAATGGATAACCCCCCCACCCCCCCCCCCCAAAAAAAAACAACTCCTACCCCTTAAAATTAAGGGGTCTTCATCAGTCTCAAATGAATATTGGCTACAGACCTCATAATGACAAGTGCAGTCATTCAGTATCAATTGTGCATGCAGAAACAATAATTGATGAGTATAATAGTAATATTCTGGCCATTTTGTGTGAATAAATAGATTTGGTATATAGATCTACAAATTGTTTTGGAAACCTAGTAATTTTGCATGTTCCAGTAAAAAGACAAAAAATGAGGCCACTGAAAACCTAGTAGAAATTACCACTAATAGCATGTATAGCATGATGGTCTAAGCCATTGTTTAACAAAATAATGTGCACCAAAGTTAATGTCCTATTATAGGATACAAACCCATTAGACTGACATGTTGATGACTTATTAAAGGCAGAATCAGATCTAACAAGTAACAAGTAAAAACCTATGTACTTTTATTTCATTATTTATTCATTTCTGCCACATGAATCTAAAAGTATCTTCACAATTTGATAAGTTGTTATGGCTCTTTTCGGAGATAATATATTTGAGGTGGTCAAGATTATATTTCTAAGTCAATTATACATGTTGCTTACAATATCGTACAATACCTGTTTATCTGATTCTGCCTTTATAATCTACATACAGATTTAATTAATGAATTTGGTGTATAAGAAACCATTACTTTATAAACATGTACTTTATATGCAGAAAAATTGTTTTAATCACAATGGTTGAGATTCATATTTTCTGTTTGTTTATTCCATGACACTGATCTACATGCAACATGTAATAATAGCAGATACTGTGACAGAGAGAGATAACAGATGAAAGGATGTGACGATGATAGATGTCAATAAGCCTGGTTACCTTGACAACAGTTTCCTGGCCCTCAGTTGGTCTGTAGCTCTTGATTACTGTGTAACCCGATGGAAGGACTCCTAGATTCAATTCGGCTCTACAACACAATCATGTCATAAGTGCATCATATTATTTCAAACTACATTAAAACCTGAACAGGTGAACACCTCTCAATATGAACTTTTTTGGTCTGAATTTGGTTGTCTCCCATTGACTCACATATAAGAAACCTTGACATGTGAACACATTTAACACATGCTAATCTTAACACTTTTAGTTGCACATATTCTACACTTATGCCAATAAGGGGTTTTGTGGTCTGAGCGTTTCCATAGTAACACAGGGTTATCCAATGAGAAGGAGGGGACTGCTTGGTCAGTATTCCATTCCAACACAAGTATCAAGCAGTCTTACAATTACAGTGAGAGAATACGAACTCACTTTATGTATACGTATAAATATTGAAATTTAAACTTGATTAAAACCTGAAAATACACATACCCAGTGCAGAAATTGTCTATTCTGAAAGCATCACTAGCGTGGAAGAACTGTCCAGGTGATTTAATGCTCTCTAGGATGATCTGATCATATATCTGGACCACCTCCCCCTCAGACTTCACCTTGTAGCGTGGAAGAATCCGGAATTGTGCGTGTTTTGCATTGAAATCTTGCAAAAATATCTAAAACAAAATGGAGAATAATAACCATATTTCGTATCCACCAGTATTAGTATTTAATTTAAATTTTTTTACTAAGAAATGCATAAAACGGTAAAAAAAGATCAGATCGCATATTGGCATATAAAATATGATAGAAACCTTGAAAACATTTTCTGAATACTTTTTAAGTATTTTACAATAATATTGCTATTGTAACATTGTAAAAATAGGACCCACGGTCCTGTGCTCACACAGTTTGGAACATTCAGAGGAATGTATATCCTGACTTTCAAACAAAAATATTGATTTGGATTTGTACAGTAGTCTCGAACTTTGAGAAACTTAGACAGCACAGTTGTGTGACCTAGTTTGATGACCTTGACCTTGAAAATTTTACTTATTTAGAGCTCAGTAAGGTCTTTTGTGATTAAGCTGACCAAAATTTACATCCAAAAATCAATTTGAAAAATCAACCTTTTTGACCTTTCAAAGGTCACTGAAGGTCAAGTAAAGGTCAAATCCTAAAACTAATGTCAGATTTGAACTCCTGGTAACTTGTAGATGATTTTCAAAAAGAAAATTGGTCAAATTGAAGCAAGCTGAAAAATAACTTATTTTATTTTGACGTCAAATATCTCAAAACGGTAAAAATTTGATGCTGACATATATTGAGCAATATGTAGGGAATGCTTAAATCTAGTTATGATGTAATTCATTGCAAGAAATGATCAAGTATAAGGCAAACTTTGAGAAACTTGTCAATCACAAAACCTGCCATTGACTTTATACATTAGAAAGTTTCCTGAAAATGACCAAGTCCTACTTTTTGTCAAATTTTATAGAGTAAGCACCAAAAACTGTAATTCCAAGAGCTTTGAAATCTTCAGAGGACATAAGTTGCATATACAGCAACTACTACAAGTTATTTGAAAGTTCTACTTCAACAAAGGGTCTAGTATTTACAGAAAATTTGACTTTTTGTATCAAAATCAGCAAATTCTCAGAAACCGGGCGAACTTGGGAAATGGCGATGATAGGTCAAATAGGCATTATGGATATGCATAAAATGACTGTGGATATGACTCAATCCGAATAGCAGTTTTAATTTGTGCGGCCAATGTTGACGGACGGACCAACGGACGGACGGACGGACGGACGCCTGGTCGATCCCATAGGCTCACTGTGTGAGCCAAAAACAAATGGCAACTACTTAAAATATTTTTAAAAACACATCACTGCATTTGGAACAGACTTGCAAAGTAACCATGCTGATATAAGTGATAACACTGACCTATAGGACATGTCTATCATTGAAATTAACAAATTGTGACTGGAAAATCATTTCTAAGACATGGACCCCTGGATACATTGATTCCAGATTGAAGATCTAAGGGTTCTGAGTTTAAATAATTTACCTGTTTAATATTTTGCAATTATTACGGTTAGCTAGGCTAAGAGGTGTTTACTGTCAATTTAATTGTGGCATCGCATGACTGCATTTACTAGAGATATTCCTTTTAGTGTCTGAATATTTCAATATCTTGTACACTGCACTCTGATTTTTTAACACTTGAAATTTAACACGTTAAAATATGCTGAGTTTCACACATGCCACCTATGTATTTACTGATTCAACTTTAATTGAATGATTATTGCATTTTCATTTTGCAGCTTCACTTAAATTACTTCAAAGCTCTATAAATGGGTTTCCGTTTTCATTTACTTCAATTGTTCAGACTGTATTATATGACACGCAAGTTTGTAATTTACAAGAATAACCAGGGGTACAATGATATATTGAAGCTACAAATACTCAGTTTAATTGCTTTAATAAACATCTACTTTTGATCCACAACCTTGCACATTATTTGATATTGGACATTTCAGACATTTCCTGGCCTATAAAGGGGTCTATGACTACTGTACTTCATTTTAAGTCAATTTTTTTTGCAAATTGTTTTTCTTGTTTATTATATTTGAATTGTAACAAAGACCTTGATATGGCAAAAATATGACCTTAGATTTTTTCTGCCAATTGCTAAAGACCTCAATTGCTCTGCAATTTCAGATGCAAAAACCTCGAAATCAGAACACCTCCTAATCCAAAGTTTAGCAAGTCCTGATGGTGTTCAGATTAGACAGGTTTTACTGTATCTTCAAATCAGCATGGATCATGGGACACAAGAAACAGTCAACAGGTCAAGGTCAGCATCAATCTAATGGCATTTCAAGAATGTATTAAAATTTGGCATTTGCGTCTTGCAGCTTGTTACTATATTTGTATATACTTGAATTGTAAAAATGAATTACATGCACATTGATTCTTTTTCCACAACTGATTCCTTCCATGTAAAAATGTAGACCCCACAGATTCAGAAATAGCAAACGAGGAATGTATCTTTACACAAAATTGCCTCAAATCGTGAAAAGGGATTTTACATAAATGCAACCCAGAGGAGAGTAGATCAAACAAGATCCCCTTAAAGTTCTCCTAGTGGGCTATTTTCTCACCATCATGTTATTCTTGTCCCTCCTACTGGTCTGTGTTGTACTGATGTGGATATATTTACCAGTGAAGACATGCCGCAACTGAAATAGAAATATAACAACACTAGAACAGTCATTTAAACCAGTTATATATTAACGATTAATGTGTATTTAAACAAGGCACTAACATGCAAAATGTCACAACCTGCCATTTACAGACAGTGAACACCTACCGCTGGATGCCAACTGCAATCACAAAAAGCTAGACTATCATACATTGACTGCTATATAAATATTTAGCAGCAATTTTCGAATAACAAAGAGTAAACATAACATTTCTTTAAGAGCTTTACATTTACAGAGATAGGGAGAGAGGGGAGAAAGAGGGAGATGGAATGACTAACCTGAACAACCTCTCCATAGCGGACCTTCTTTCCTTGTTGTCTTTTTTGTTCTGCAACATTATCATCATTTTCTGCATCAGCTGCTAGCTGGAAATATACAGTTTAGCCATTGTCAATCCCAGACTCTTAATGATTGACTCTTATATTCTTAAATCTTGGAGGCAGAGTTTTGCTCATATACTCTAAATCTGGAGGCAAAGCATTATTAGGATTTGCCATTGACAACACTTCTTACAACAGTAAACTACATGTACATGTACAATCTGATCAATTCATCCCAAGTAAGGATTTTTGCCCAAAGCTAAAGCCAAGAATGAATCCAAAGATTCAGTAACTTGATATCGGAATAGGTGCACAGTGATCACCCCAGCATTAAAGGAAGTGGGCGAAGCACCCACCTGACAGCCTGAGATTTTAAAAACAGATTTCAGTGTGAATTGTGAAAATGAGAATTTTGTGCTCACTTGAGAAAAAATCCAGGGGAGATCAATGGTGCATGATGTCATAGATGGGCATATGAATCATTTAGAATGATATCTTTCTATTCATTGGGTATGTTTGATTGCTGAATGGGTTTTAAGTGGTTAAACTGAATCAATGGAAACATAAACGAGCATCACCAATAATCATGCACTGACTGCCCTTGCATGATTAATACAACTGTAATTGGTGGGAAATTATTTCTTGTTCAAAGAATGTTAATAAATAACACTTATTATCTGTTCATAGCCATCATAAATTCTTTTGTATAAATGGTTTTTAATGATGCATTCACAAACACACAACTTTGATCATTTCTTTGATTAGCCAATAATTGCTTTTATGCATCCATTATCCTTGCTTATCTCACAGATAAATCACACATTTTGGTGTAAAAAATCAAGGTGTTTGGGGGTAAAGCAACATGTGACTCTATGATGATTGCCACAGAGCTCAGAGATGACCTCGGTATTATCTTTCTTGCTTACAACATTTACAACATAGAGGGGGGGTCAGGGGGTTTGAGCCCCCCCCCCCCCCGGGGTTACTCGAGTCTCTAGCCATATGATCCTTAGAAGAAGGTAACCCTGGGATATTTTAAAAAGTGAATGCTCCTTGGCAAATCCTGGCTATGGGCCTGAGTTTCTGAGTGAATAACAAACAATTAGCCTAATTCACTCGGCAATGTTAATTATTTCTCAAGCCTTCCTAGCAGCAAAAATCCCCTGTCAAAGACCCCAACTAAAGTGTCGATGCTTAGAATTCATAATATATTTAGAATACATATAGATGCTATTTTGAAAATATAATGATAAACACAGAAAATCCAAATTGAAAGCTTGAAAACTAACTTCAGCATTTTCAGTTTCATTGTTATTTCCGGTTGCTGCCGGATTACGCGGTTGTGTTTTAGCGCAACCACAGTGAGTTGCGCAATATTCTTCTCAATCCTGACACAACCCGGACTGTAAGCACAACTACAAAGGCTATATTGCATCTGGATCAGTTACCTTTGCCTGTTGAATAGAAGTTTTCTGTTCAATGTCTATTTCATCTGGGTTGTACGGGAGCCACTTGCGGTATTTCTTGTTGAGTTTGTATCTGTTCTGTATACATAGTTGGAATGTGACGGCTTGGGGATTGGGGATACCAGTTGGCTTTTCCCTCTCCTGCCATTGGTTGATGTGAATGACATTGTGTGATGTGCTGAAAAACACAAAGTATACCTCTCGGTTAGCCCTGTTACAATCAGAGTTGATAAAGAACGGGAGTTTTGTTCCCCAGTGCATTTCTTACACTGGTTAGGGGGGAATGTCGCCTTGGTTTCTCCCCCAGACAATCAGTGATCTCCCATTATAATTATTGCTCACGGGATAAAATATCTAATCTACCTAAGATATATCTTGAGGACAATTAATTGAGGGCACAGTATCGCCGATATATCATGTATATTGAAAGTCAACAGAATAACCATCAGAAAAACCAACGGATAAAAAACAATTAGTACAAAGCAACATACAACTGTTTTGCCAATATTATGAAACCCTTGAAAGTGTTAAGCCGAAAGATAAAAAGAAATGTTTAGTGGTTCAATATTAAAAAAATATATTTTCATTTTTTTAATTTCATTTTGACTTTTTTACTAGCCAGTAGAAAAGTAATTTCATGAACAATCATCAAATTGATCGTGTAACGAATTAGTTGAAGCCTCAAAGTTGGTAAGTACATGTACATGTACAGTAGAAAGACCAACATCTTATACATCTTTCAGAGCCAAAACATCAGGGGGTTACTCTAAATGTGCCTTTATCAGACATTGCAGAAACTACGATGATCGGATTTTGATATACCTGTTGTGAAATGACAATACCCGTCCCCGACTTTTATATTTCTGAATGGGATGCGAGGTGATACTGTACATGTACGTAATGATTTGTATTATGAACTGATGAAGGGTAACATTCATCCCAAGCAGATTGTGTTTTATATTTATAGAGGGAATGTCAGCAAATTATTATATAGAAGTAGTTTAGATGTGGAATAATTATCAATTCCAATTGATCCAAAGTGCACATGTACTTTAGCAAATGCTTTTGATTGTATAGTCCCGTTTGATTGTGCTACACATTTATTGTGTTTGAACAAATGTCCTGCATTTCAGAAATCTAATCCTTTTACCAATTCATCTCAAGAAGGATATTAAAATGCTTAACAATATAATTAAAAGATGTGATGAGAAACAGAATGGTGCTGCCTTGTATACCATTTAAGAACACGTACGGTTTTACAACTCCAGTTAGCAATATATTTTAACAAGTATTTAAACTAGTGGAGCTCCCTAGTGAAAATCCCCAAATTAACTTAGAAATTGGTATTCTCGGCATGGATTGTGCTCGAGAAATGAAATAGCTTGTAAAATGAATACACAGAAAGATCCAGTTAGATTGATAGCTTAGGGGTAGTTCACGCTGATCTTTACCACCCTTCAAATAATTAACCATTACGAAAATGATACAAACATCATGGCAAAAGCAACGAGATTGATGGCACAACCAAGACGAGCCACGCGGCGGTCTTCTATCAAAGGCTGTCTCATGGAACACGAAATGATCTTGTTAGATTGATAGTTTAGTATAGGGGTAGTTAAAGTCCGGGAGTTATAAGAACAGCTTTTCAAATAAAGCACAATCGCAAAATCACCTTTATGTTATCGTTATGATAGGGCCAAAACTTTGGCCAACCTTTTTGGCAAAGGTTTTGTAAACATTTATAGAGGCACATAATATTCATCTGGTTAAAGCATATTGTCGAATAAAATGGATAAAGGGGTAGATTTAGACTGCCTTGAAAATGAATGTTTTACAAGTAAGCGACACACCCATGATCGAAGCATCAAGCGATACCGTGCAACAGTTAGCTGAAAATACAAATATACAATACCGACTAGTTCCAATTTTTATGAAACATTAAAGAATTACTGTATTTACTGGTACATTACTCCGTGGTTCTTATCCAAAGATCTATTTTTAATGTAACTGCCTACATCAGGTAAATGTCTTACAGATCAGTAAATTCCAACAAAGATGGTGGTCATAAATAAATGAATGATTTGTAGATTCGTAGTTTGTAGTATATAATTACTCGTATACCTTACTAATATCATTGTAAATATGATACAAGGCAATATAAGGAAACTGAGTTGAATCAAATATTCTTTATCCTATATTCGCCTTGTGAGGGGGCGTCCCGTGATCGGGAGGACAACTGAACACTGACGACAGGCTTGTAAGAAGATCAAACCTCATAAACAGAGATAAAGCCCAAGGAATTTAGATTAATCCTCATTAATAGGAAAGATGTATCAACCTATAACTACAAATGTCAGACTCTTATGTTTATGTCCTGGTAAGGTCATCCGTTATCTCAGGTATGCGTACGCGTCTATATCCCCATTTTCCTTACTGACGCGATTGACGGATTCAGTAACATTCAGTTTTGGTTTTGTTATCGTAAATATCAATATCTGACAAAATTGAATGTTTGATTCAGTCAGTGTACATGTAAGTGGAATAAGGAATATGAATTTTGAAGTTGATTGCAAGATCGAATCTAGTTCATTAGGAACATTTCATGTTTATGTTTAATTGACCTTTTATGGATTCAGTTGGATTCTCTCCTGATTATGATCTATGATGGTGTTACTTATATCTAAATTTATGTCCATAACACATGGCCGTCAGATGGGGGGGTGCGATGGGTGCGACCGCACCCCCCTCTGACACCCCCCCCCCCCCCAAAAAAAATAGCACCAAATAGCATCTTAAAATTGTAAAATTTTGTAGGGGGAGAGGGCCACCCCTCACACCCCCACAAAATAATTGAAAAGTACTGAATTTATTTTATGTATTGTCATAGACACTTTTAAAGTGCCCAGACATCATCAACTAGCTCCTTGATATAGACAATGTTTCTTGGGGACTAACACTTGTTCCCCCTCTGCGTCCTCACCCCACCTCCTCTCTAGCAACCCCCCCCCCCTTGGACACCCCCCCCCAAAAAAAATGAAATAAATTTTTTCTTATCTTTTTTATTGATTCATACAATTTGAAAGTGTCCAGAAAGCACCAAATAGCATTTTAAAATTGTAAAATTTTATAGGGGGACTAAGTGGGCCACCCCTCACACCCCCACAAAATAATTGAAAAGTTTTGAATTTATTTTATGTATTGTCTCAGAAACTTTAAAGTGCCCAGACATCATCAAATAGCTCCTCGATATAGTCAATGTTTTTAGGGGACTAACACTTGCTCCCCCTCTGGCATCCTCACCCCACTTCCCCCTCGGCACCCCCCTCTTGAACCCCCCCCCCAAAAAAAAATTTAAAAAAAGATGATTTAATCTTTTTATTGACTCATACACTTTGAAAGTGCCCAGAAAGCACCAAATAGCATCTTAAAATTGTAAAATTTTCTAAGTTGGCCACCCCTCACATCCCCCACAAAACAATTGACAAAAATTCTGAATTAATTTCGTGTATTGTCTCAGACACATTTTAGGTGCCCAAACTTCATCAAATAGCACCTTTATATGGTCAATGTTTCTTCAGACAGATATGGGGGACAAAGACTTGCTCCCCCCCTCAGGAACTCCAACCCTACCTCCCCCTTTGGCACCCCCCCCCCTTTGACTCTCCCAAAATTTGAAAAAATTGTGATTGTTGTTCAATTTCTTATTGACTCATACACTTTAAAAGTGCAAAGAACGCACCAAATAGCATCTTAAAATTCAAAAATTTTCTAGGAGAGTTGGTCACCCATCACATCCCCCACAAAACAATTGGAAAAATATGAATTTAATGTATTTTCTCAGAGTCACTTTTAAAGTGCCCAGACATCATCAAATAGCACCTTGATATGATCAATGTTTCTGAAGGAAAAACTCGTTGCTTCCCCCTCTGGCATCCCCACCTCACCCTTTTATCCTCTTTGACACCCCCCAAAAAATTAAAACATTTTTTATTGACTCATACACTTTGAAAGTGCCCAGAAATCACCAAGTAGCATCTCAAAAATTTTAACTTTTCTAGGGTGGCACTCCTCACACCCCCCAAAAAACAATTGGGAATGTTTGGTAGTTGCATTTGTTAATTTTAAACACTTTAAAAGTGTCCAGAAATCACCAAGTGACATAATGGAACATAAATAATTCTGACACCGCATCCCAAAAACTAAAGTATTCTGATCATTTACTCAAACACATTTGATTTACGCGGAAAAATGTCAATTTTATTTTCTCTTTATTAAAAACCACACCCCCCTTGGAGAAAAGTGTCTTACGGGCCTGTAACAGTATGGTGCAACTTATTACACTTTGTAAATGCCAGATCGGATCTTGAATATCAAAATAAAGCTTCAAGTTCACGATCATAGTTTTTCTCTTTGCTAAGCGATATTCGTGTAAAGAGGCATCCACTCACCGTCAACATTCACACCAAATACCCGAGGGAAGAGTATACGAAGAACACTCTCTTTTATTAAGAATTGAACACAAAACAAATACAAATGGTAAACATCACGAATGATTCAGTTCTCACTTTGAAACCTGACTTGTGACTTTTAATTTTTCCTTTAGGGCTATCTCAAGAGAGCAGAGCTCATCACCCCTCCACCAGACATTTGAATTTAACACGTTGTGAAATTCACCAACGAAGTTGCTCTTCTCCGCCAGAAGAACCCACAAATGATTCAGAGCCGTGTGTGATATGTAGGAACGAGCACACCTTCTTCCAACAATACATATGGCCCCGTGTGATGACTTTTATATCTGTCACCATCAACTGTAAAATGCAGTTGTACAGTATGTAAATATTTTGATTTTGTGTTCATAGACTTCTATCCTCGTGGGGATTGTGGTCCATGATGGTTATACCTTTACGTTGTATTTTGAAATGTCCTTTATTATGTAAACTTGATTGTAACAAATATACCATTCTGATACCCATCACATCTGCCTTCAAGTAGAGATATAGAAGCTAAGAGAAGGCCATGATTTCTTACGATGAAAATATACTGTTGTAAATATTTCATAAAATCTGAGATCATCATAAAATGTTTGTCTCCGATAAAACTACCAGCAAGTAGAAGCATTGCATGCATGTGTGTAAGTCGATCCAGGTGAAGAACGAGTAAACAATTAAGTCCATCATCCATTATCCTTTTAAAAATAATAGATGATGAGTGGTTGTTTTGCAAGTGCAACGACTCCCGTATGGTGACTTTAATACTGAGAGCCAGTGATAGGATGGGTAGGATGGTCCATTCTGATACTCATCACATGTCTTCACCAGAACCGTGAAGCTAATAGAAGGCCATGCTTTTTCATTATGAGGATGGTCAATGATTGACGAACGAGAGTTCATGTCAATATGGGTGGGTATTCGTCAGGTACAAATCAAGTGCAAAGCAGTAAAAGTTAATGTCCCATGTGATCCGGGTATATTTAGAGTAGATAGCTCCCGATGGAGTCCATAACGAAAGGTTGTTTCGTCAACGATTGAATAAAATCGCCAATAGATACGTTTTGATACTTGTTTGTGGTTAATACTTACTTAATACAATTAACGGATTTAGCTATTGGTATTAAACTATTTACATTATTCCAAATATAACTAGATAATGGCAACTCCGCGGAGTAGCAAATCCCAACGAACAAAATATCAATTACCAAATTCCAATCAATTATACTCATTACTTTGGTTAAAATTTAGATTTTAGAATTGTGAATTCCTGCAAAGCAGCCATTTTGAATTTTCTGGGGTACAAATCTGAAAAATAATACCATAATTGTGATCTACTCCAAAATTCCTTCAATTTGAGTATTATATAGCCATACGTTGAAGGGATCGAAAAATTATTGCGAAATCGTACATTAGACGGCCATTTTGAATTTTACGAGGTTCGAATCAGAAAAAAAGATAAAATATTTGCAATCTACTCTTAATTTCCTTTCATTTGAGTATAATAAAGCTATACTTCAGAAAGATCTAAAAATTAGCAAAAATTTCTGTTTTCCTGACCCCCCCCCATACACGGCCCCTGGGGTCAGGATGAAAAACACAGAATATATGTGAAATAGATAGATGTTGCGAAAATACTACCAAAATTTCAAACAATAATATTAATTACTTTGGTTTAGAATGGAAAATTCATGATTTTTGCGAAAAAGTTCCGTCATTTTTAAAGCGGCAGCCATCTTGAAAAAATCCATTTTGAATTTTCTGAGGTACAAATCTGAAAAGTAATACCATAATTGTGATCTACTCCAAAATTCCTTCAATTTGAGTCTTATATAGCCATACTTTGAAGGAATCGAAAAATTATTGTGAAATCGTAAATTAGACGGCCATTTTGAATTTTACGAGGCTCGAATCAGAAAAAAGATACAATATTTGCAATCTACTCTTAAATGCCTTTCATATGAGTATAATAAAGCTATACTTCAGAAAGATCTAAAAATTAGCGAAAATTTCTGTTTTTCTGACCCCCCATACATGGCCCCTGGGGGTCAGGATGAAAAACACAGAATATATGTGAAATAGATAGATGTTTGGAATATATTACCAAAATTTCAAACAATAATATTTATTACTTTGGTTTAGAATGAAAAATTTATGATTTTTGCGAAAGAGTCCCGTCATTTTTAAAGCGGCGGCCATCTTGAAAAAATTATTTTTTGCGTAAAACTATTCATCAATATACATCTTTCCACCAAATATGAAGAAAATCCGTCAACCGATATTTGAGTTATCTTCCGGACGGACAGACGGACGGACGGACGGACTGACGGACTGACGGACTGACAGACTGACGGACTGACGGACTGACGGACGGACGGAGGGCTTCACTATATCCCTACCGAACTTCGTTCGTTGGGATAATTATCCATACATACTTGCATTTTAAACTCGTTAAAGTCCCCGTCTAAAGTTTGAAAATATTTTTTTTTCATTCATTTACTATTTGTCAGGACTTAAAAAGTGATTTTAGAGATTTTTGAACAAAAAAAGATTTTCAAAAAAAGTTGTGAGCATTTCATTTCTCAAATATTCAAATTTCCCGCCATTTTTCAAAAAAAGTTGAAATTTCTTAATCATCAAATATTTCTTAATGCATTTCCAAAAAGATTATCTTTTTAACATCAATGCAAAGATTGAACAAAAGACACGCTATTTCAATAATAAAATGTCATATTTAATGGGCTACACCAATGTTTTAGCTTATCAAAAATATTTTGAAACATTAGTGATGTCACTAAGGTAACAAAAACTTTTTGAAAAAAATTGAATTTTTTTTTTCGATGTCAATCTTTTCTAAATATGCTAGACTTTCATAAAAACCAATGTTGATTGTCTAACCAAATGAAAAGGAAGAATAAATTATGTTTTAGATATCATTGTACCATTGGTTTCTATGAGAACTAAAATTTTGAAATGCATTTTTCTCAGAACCATTTTCATGCACTGATAAGTTCATTTCTCGCTTGTTTATCAACCGATTTTCTTAATTTTTTCGGCAAAAAACATGGGAGGATGAATGCTATGCATTGATATGAATTGTGGCTAATTAGAAGATATGAGTGACCTCTAAAAGTTGGTTTTAAATAAATTCACAAATTTTGGAACAAAAAGTCTATCAAAAACCACTTTTTGAAATTTTAACAAAAAGTTTCATATATCACACTTTGATAACATTGGGTAAGACTACAATATTAGCCAAAGTGGTTTAAACTTTACATGGGGCCTTTAATTGCATTCCTAGAAAAGTAAAAAATTGAAACGACGTGAATTTTGAGTTTTTGTTTATCACAGAGTGACCAGAACTTTCGACGGTAAAAATGGTTCCATTTGTCAAGGAAGAAAGCATTTACAGATCTCTCAGATAACCTAAATGATGAAACTAATGATTTCTATTCAATTTCAAGTTCAGACAGCATATTAATTTTCATTTTAGTTCAATTCAGAAAATAATGGAATTAGCAAAAATGGACGCATTAGTACCATTCTCCTTTTTACAAGAAGTAACCATAAGTACATGTAACCTCAATTAAGGACTACAAGAATTGGTAAAAAATAAACTGGGTAATATTTATGACAAGTGAGAATGATAAATAACAATGAAAAGTTACATAATGCCCTGTTGATATTTGTCAAAACAATTGCTTAAGTTTCCCATTAATGTACTTTAAATGACAAATTTAGGGAGAATCTGCTACAAATCCTTTGAAGTGAGTTATCTCAGAGATTTATTGCTACGATGGTCCAAAAACTGTCATTTTCATTTTAAGATTGAAATGTCTAAAAGTGTAACTACAGCACCATAGAATAAATGAAAGTTGAGGCGTTCTGACTTTTTCAAAGGAATCTCAAGAGGCCTTGCTTAATCCCAAGTCATATTTTCATTAAAGAAAATACCAGAACATCCATTTCCCGTACATGTCTTTACCAGAATTTAATCATCCTCTTTCATCCTAGGAGGACAGATCAACCTCATCGACTTCTCGTCTAGTCTTTATATTACCATTGCCCTCCCAAATTCTTCAGCGAAGACTTCCCAATAAAGTTATGAGAACAAAACCGTGGTAGAAAAGACTTTACTTGTATTGATAGGTGGTGTCATTGTAATGTTTTGGAAAACGTCTATATTTTTCACTGGCTGTCTTTAAAACCTAGAGCTGTATATCGACGAAGCCCCTCCCTCATTATCGCAAATATACGTAAATATCGTGGTATTGGTATTTGTAGTACATGCTTATATGATGGAAGAGAACCAAAATGGGCCCAATGGCAGTATAATACGTAATTGTAGGATGTAGGACCGTTAGGAGACGATCTGTGACCCGTTACATGATGTTTGTGATTGCCGCTTCTGGCTGTTCTGTTAAGTAATGTCGCAACTTGTTCTATTCAAAGTCATGTTTTCTATAATAAACGTTTTTGTGGCAGGCTGATGTTTCATTAAATGCACCATATTCGATGATTACACAACTTTTTTCAAAAACATGTATTCAAAAACTCTAATAACTTTTAAGTCATGAAAAATAGGCTAATAAATGATAGATAAAACATACTTTCAAAATTTGCACGGAGCCATTAACATACGATAATAAGACATTTCCAGTTTCAATAAAATGCACATGATATGCATTGATATTTCTTTTCTGTAAAAATATCGGCTCGCCTGCCCCATGCCTGGCAACGCCTGTGGCTATATATGAGCCTGGCCATAGGAAAACCGGTCTTATCACAAAAATTAAAATTGTGCTACAGAGCCAAAAATGTGCCCAAGATTAAGAGGAAAATGTGCTAAATTAGGATCCAACTTTTTGGTCGCATGGAAAAAGTGTTAAGACACAAGTCATGGCTCATTTGAAAGGTCTTTTTGTGCTTTTTAAGATTAACAAAAAATCAAAATATTGAAAAATCTGTGATAAGACCTGTGGCCTGGCTCATATATTGTTGTCGAATACGTCAATGCATTATACCGTCTTTTTAGAATTATAAGTGACTTACCTGGACTGGCAGTTATAGACGTATCCCTCGGTCTCTTCGCAATAGAGGCAGATGTAGTCCCCAATACATAGGAAGTCGGACATCATCCTACCAGCCTCCAGGTTCTCCCTGAAACACACAGAAGCAGAAATGTTAAGAGTGTACGTTCAACAATAAAGGCTTGTAGCACAACACAGTTCGTCAGACGCAACGCGACATATCACAGCACAACCAAATCACAACACAACACAATACGTATTATCCACGTTGTATTGCAGCCAAACTCAATGGAATATCGAAATATACAAATGGAATCCTCAAAATTGACGTGAAAACAGAAAAAATTAACACCCCAAAAATATATTACATAAAACACTCAATTTCGAGCCTACACCACAAAACATTGAAACAAGCATTTTTCAGTCCAACTGAATGAAACTTGACATTGTTAAAATTCACCATTTGTAAGGTAGATCTAACGTCGTATACATTTGGTCTTTATTTCCATTCCGATGTGGTGTTTTGTCCTCACTGTGAACCAGTATACGTCTAATTCATATGCCAGCCTGACTTTAGAACATTTAGTTTAAAGAATATTCCAAATTTTTGTCAGTACGTCTTTGTTTTTCCAGTCGCTTTTTGTGAAATGTTGGCTGTCAATGTTAGCAGGCAAAGTCCAGAACAATTTCCAATTTTATTCAGATCGGGGATTCTTCGGGTTATTTCTTATAACTTGGAGCTATTTATTGATTCAGTATACTAAACCGTAATTATTTTAAATGACAGTAAATATCCCTCGATACACCGGCAACTACAACTTCTAATTATCAAGCGCCATTGTGATGGCCTCCCTGGTATCAAAGATCAACCAGTGCGCTGGAATGCACAGTGTCCGTGAAAAGGATCACCTCTAACTACTCACTACTTGTTTCATCGTACATCTGAAATAGGCCATGCAATTTCTATAATTGGGGATCACTTATGTGTTGATTTGTGTTTAATGAACGTTAGCTATCAGGTCTGCAATCAATTCAATTCAAAATACTAAAATGATAACATAATTTGGTCAAACAGGGGGAAACATTTTAATTCATCACAGGTATAATGAGAGTGATTTATAACTTATTCCGTTCTCACCCTCTGAATATTAAATAAACGAACTGATGCACTTATGCGATGTTGTTGCCAGCATTCTCACCATCGTGCGAGAATACAGATCTATATTAGATCTATATTACATGAAATCACAAATGGCAATGCAAGACACAAAAACACAGCAAACACAGCAAACACAACAAATCGAATTGGTCACTTCATAAAATTTTATCATCTTGTTACGTTGCTCCACCATTCTTGATACTCATCACATCTTTCTGCCTTCACATAGAAATATTCTAGTAAGAAGCCAATAGAAGCCCATGATTTCTCTCTATTTCTGGAAAACACGCAATGACTTCATTTCTATGTGCAAATACATTAGGATTTGAGATTCAATATACACGTAGTATCAATTTTGACATTTTTGACACCATGCATTTTGTAAGGTTTGTCGGGTAAATCATGTTGTTTTGTTATCGCTTCTTCATTTAGAGACAACAGTACTTCAGACATACGAAAAAGTGAATGAGAAATGACTTAAAAGCAAAGTACATCTACGAATATAGCACCTTTTCTTCGACCAAAACATTTGAACAATTCTTGGTTTTCATAGTAAAACGAAAACAGAAATTCGTCGAATTTCAAAACAATATATCCTTCATGTACATTCAGAAGGCGCTTCAAGGCCCAATTACTGGAAATTCCTGTAAAGCCATATCAGATTTTAGAGCACAACTAACACGATATCTGGCCAATCGCTCCAATCACCTCCTCCATTTGTTAACAAATGGATCTACGCAATTTGTAAACAAACTGAGAAGTGTTATGACTAACAACTGTCCGAGCGATTGGTTTAAGTACAATAAAACAGACATAGAAGTCGATACCCCCTCTTTTCATAATCAACGCTTTTGATATGGTTCATGTAGAGGACAAGGAGGAACTGCTTGTTATATTGTTTTTTTTATACAATATGGCGCCTAACGCCTAAACGTACATTGGGAATCAGGTTGTCCTATGTACATTAATTATCGGGTACATACATGTATACGAATAGCCCGGGAGATTCAATTAAGGTTTCTCTTTTAATTTAATCTGCAATGCTATTCCAAAAATAAAGCACGCTGCATTAACATGCAAAATGTTACCACTTGCCATTTGTTACAGACTTCGAACGCCGACCACAAAACGCTGTCCACAAAAACATGGAGACTATATAACAAGACGTCGACACTTGTGGTGGTGACATAAAATCAAAGAACCATAAATATAATATCTTTTCGCTTAATACAACAGGTAATGTCAAAACTGGATTCAAGGAAGAAGTACAGGGGTGACATAGATTATCATGATAGAGACGATCTACATTTGCCAGTCCCGACTGTGTAAAGCCTTTTAAGTGAACACTGCCTACAAATGGAACCTCACCTGAACAAAGGCGTAATGAGGCTTTTAGTGCAATTTCTCAACCATCCCTCCAAATACAAACAAGCTCTGAGGCACTTCAGGTCATTAACACATTAATCCTAGCTAAAGTAATAATTAACTTGACCTAAATAGTCAACATTCAAAACATTCTTACGGAATATCCATGACCCTATCCTGCATGCGCATTGATTCGCCACGCTCGCTCATTTTACAGCCTGACGACTTCACTGTTCTGTAACATTTAACATCAAGATTAGGAACCAATCAAAAATAAGTCATTGATAAAAACGATTTGCAACTCCCTGCTTCACAAAGATATAACCTTTACGACGTTTACGTCCAGGAACAGGAAGTTGGCACCACTTCAATTTATCCACACAACAAAATAAACCCAGAAACAATTTATAATTTACAAGTTTATTTAGACCTGACATAAACAATCACCTGTAATCAAAGGCGATCTCCAAGGGAATGCGAGGTTACTGATAAGTTCAACGCGCCAATGAGTGATCCCCTCCATGACCAAACGGCGGAACAACCTGAATCGCAGGGAGATGGAACGCAGCTTGATTGGTGATTGACAAGTTCTACACCAATATTGCGAACGGTCTGGTTATGTAATACTTTGATAAACAAAAACAGAACATCCAATTAATCTTTTTTCCTTCTTGAATTTAATATTGGAAGTTGTACAGTATATATATACGATTTTAAGCCATTAAGTTATAGCGAGTAATATAAATACATCATTATGTCATTACATCTGAAGTAACGAGACGTTTATGTTCCAATCACACAAATAAAAGTCGTAATTACGTACTTTTTTACTCAGCTGTTTACGTTCGGGAATTTTATAGTAAACACTTTTGAATAATGCGAAGGCATCAGTTCTGCTATAGTTAAAATGTTATATTAGAAAGTGGCCTCAAGATAGGAGATTTTATAAAAATGAGATTTTCCAGTTTAACAAATATTACCTCTGACACTATTTTACATTAGATATCTTCATGAGTTGTAATAGATGCAAATTGAAAGATTGAAATCCAAATAGTATATTTGGAGAAATTAAATCGCTTAATCACAATTTTAAAGACAAATGACATGTTTACTCCAGAAATTTATAAATGTGGGTTTTGTATTTATGTTACAGACTTCCTAACCCCCCTATCACACCAAACTAGTTCTTACCCGTTCTTGCCAGTTCTACGAAAACGTCGTAAAACGGGCTCAATCTGGCTGTGGTCGGGAAATATGTCTGAAATAATTAGCTTCTTCGTTCTTAAACAGTCTCCAATACGTCCATCTCGTTCGCAGTTCGTTCAGGTCGCACCACGTCGGTGTGCAACGTCGAAGAACGCGTCCCTTAGTCTAGAAGGTCATCATGACCTGATAACAGAACGGTATGGTCGCAATCGAATTTTGAATCGATTCAAAATTCGAAAATCACATTCCCGTCTGAGTACGTTCATAAAGTTCGTAAATAGACCTTAGAAAGTTGCAGCTACGTTCATTCCGTTCGCACACAGTTTACAACCAGTTTTGAAGAACGCAGTGGCAACTTGTTTGGTGTGATAGCTATATTTTTGCTAACTCGTTCATAAGCAGTGTTAAATACGTTCTTAATCAGTTTAAACCCGTTTGCATTTAGTTCTACCTCGTTCTCAACACGTCCTCGGACAGTTCAACTCGTTGTTAAAACGTCCCTAGTAGGATTGAAGTACGACGGTTCCCGTTCGTAGTACGTCCAGCTCGTCGTTAGTACGTTGTCACTCGTTCTAATTGTAGAACGTGACGACCACTAGAACATTTTGAGCATTGTCTAAGTTCTAGAGGACCTACCCGTTCGAGTACGTTCGATGAAGTTTGTAAATAGATCCCAAACGGTTCTTAGTAGGTCCAGTCCGTTCCTACACAGTTGAAGCCCGTTTTCGAGAACGTAGTGAGAACTAGTTTGGTGTGATAGTAGGGTTAGAGAACCAAACTTTTATATAACATTCCATTGGATCAAAAACATGAACTCGTGAAATTAGAAATTGCGAAAATGAATTTTGAAATTTTTTATTGAAAATGAATTGCAATACTTTCAGAGGAATATACCTGTATTAAGTATTGTATTTGTATACATTTTGTATGTTTTTTTTCAGTTTGACGTTAATTTTTGATGGTTGAATGAGATAAATCAGATTTGTAGATAAATCCACTATTACTTAATCGTGATCAGTGTTATGAGATGCTCAGCAGAGAATGTTGTTTCTTCAGTAAAGATAAATCACAATGAAGATAAGCTATCCGAGGAAAATCCCCACAAAAATAGATAAAGAATTTAGTCCTATCTCAGTGCGAATCAAATCTTGAAAGTATTTTTTTTTTTTTTTTATTAAAAATATTTATTCTCTAAATTAAAATCAAATACATAATAACACTTGACACTTTAAATAAGTGTATCAGCGTGAAAACATTTAAATATTAACCCGAGTCACATGGAAATGAGAAAAAAGACAAATTAATAATATTTACTCAGTAAAAAGAGAATAAAATTGATAACAATATATAAAATCTACATATATGTTTGTCAGTAATTCAGTTCATCATATGTTGATGTC